TTCAAAAACGAAGCCACCTTGAGCAAAGAAAAGAGAACTTCTTCACCATCGCTAAACCATCTTCCTCACCAACAACAGTATATTCTATTTTATAATTTCAATTTACACTTTTTATTTCAGGTTATTTACGGCAAACTACGAACAAGGAAATCACAACATCATCTTCAAAAACGAAACCACCTTGAGCAAAGAAAAAAGAACTTCTTCACCATCGCTAAACCATCTTCCTCACCAAAAACAGTATATTCTATTTTATAATTTCAATTTACACGTTTTATTTCAGGTTATTTACAGCAAACTACGAGCAAGGAAATCACAACATCATCTTCAAAAACGAAACCACCTTGAGCAAAGAAAAGAGAACTTCTTCACCATCGCTAAACCATCTTCCTCACCAACAACAGTATATTCTATTTTATAATTTCAATTTACACGTTTTATTTCAGGTTATTTACGGCAAACTACGAGCAAGGAAATCACAACATCATCTTCAAAAACGAAACCACCTTGAGCAAAGAAAAAAGAACTTCTTCACCATCGCTAAACCATCTTCCTCACCAAAAACAGTATATTCTATTTTATAATTTCAATTTACACGTTTTATTTCAGGTTATTTACAGCAAACTACGAGCAAGGAAATCACAACATCATCTTCAAAAACGAAACCACCTTGAGCAAAGAAAAGAGAACTTCTTCACCATCGCTAAACCATCTTCCTCACCAACAACAGTATATTCTATTTTATAATTTCAATTTACACGTTTTATTTCAGGTTATTTACGGCAAACTACGAGCAAGGAAATCACAACATCATCTTCAAAAACGAAACCACCTTGAGCAAAGAAAAGAGATTGAAATCTCCTTTTTTAGGTAAAATTTTCTATATTATAAAATTTATTATATTATATTTTTTATATGGCTACAAATGCATATGTGTTGTAACCCGATAATCATCAACTCTTGAAGTATAAATATTTATTATATTTTCTTATAATTCATATCTTTGTCTCTTTTTTTCTATTTCTTCCTTCTTATTTTCATTTTTTTTTCATTTCTTTGCTCCCCTAAAATCCATCTCCTACCTTCACGCGGTGGGGAGTGAACAGTAATTCTGACTAACAGGAGCTCTGGTAAATAATGTTAGTATTTAGGGTGCTAATAAGAGATATTGTTTCATTTTTGTAATTTAAAATATAAATTTCGAAATCACATCTCATAAAAAGGAAAATGTCTGATTCATCCATCATCAAATAAAGGTAAAATATATTATTCATCAATCATTGAATAAAAAAGACAATTCCTCTCTCTTAGTCTTAATGGGTTGGAATTGGCCTGGAGGGGGGAGGGGTAAAAAGAATTATCGTAAAAGAACGAATAAAATTCTCATCCCCGTCATTTTTGACGGGTTATCAACTAGTACTCTTATATTTGTCATCATCATCATTAATATGATAACTTTTTATTTTAATCTTTCGGTTACTATTTTTTAGTCCTTTCATACACTGTTTAAAAATTTTTACTGAGTAAATATCTTGAGATTATTTTAGATGCTGTTTTTAAAGATTTAATTAATTTCTTCCTAGCGTTGCATTATGATAAATAAATAATTTAACCTAACAATGGTGCTGCGAAATTATAAATATATTTCATATTTTATCAGAAATTTATATTAGTTGAATTAAAATTATAAGAGGAATTTGGCCTACCTTATCCTATATCTTTTTAACCCTACGTCCTTATCCTTATGTTATTATTAATTTTATATATATTTCAATCAAAAAAAAACTCTCTCCGATGAATATTGCTAGAGTAGTTTCTATTATATAATAGAAACAAAGCACAGATATGTGAACTAAAAAAAATCCTGATTTTGAACAAAAAAACATAAAATAAAAATTGGGGAAATCCTTACAATAGGCATACACATATTTTTAGTGCTTCTATCATTTTTATTCTAGCAGTATGTCAATCTTGGAAATTTTTCCTTATTTTGCAGTTAATGCGTTTTTTTTAAACTATCAACCCAACGGGTTGACGCTCAAAATACAAACTAGAGATATGCAAAAGTAGGCTCGGCCGGGTTCAGGCCAATTTTTTTAAAAAGTGTTAGATATGTCGATTTAAAATTTATTAATTTTTTATCTTTCGGCGAGGTTTTATTTGTAGTTTATATTAACGTTTTATTTTATCATCGCAATTTATGTTTGTTTCTTAACTTTAAAATTTTATTTTATCTTTTTATATTTTCGCTAAAATTGATTTATATTTTTTGTTATTTGTTAACAAGTTAAATTCAATTTTCGAACATTTTTATATTCCATAATTGATTATTTTTATGATTTATTTAATTTTAAAAAGATATAAAAAAGAACATTTTTTTTATAAAAGGAATAATGAATTTTTGATTTATAAAAAAAACTTATTTCGATTAGTGATTTATTGAATAAACTATCATTGACGACATATTGATTACTCTATTAAAATAAATATTTAAAAACACTACTAAATCTCTCTCTTTTCTTCAAAAAGAAATCGGGTTAGGGCTGGGCCGAGCCTAATATTTTTTTAAAAAATTCGGGCCGGGTGGGGGTTTGAAATTTTTTTTATTATTATATCTAGGAGTGTACCGATACCACTTTTTGGAGGCCGATCCGATCCGATATCATATCTAATTTTCTATTCTGTAAAGATTCCAATGGTTTTCATTTTTAATATACTTTTTATTAGTATAACATCTATAATTTTACTATACCATAACATATATCATTTAAATATATTATAATGATCAGTTATAGTTTATATTCAATTCAATTGCAATTCTAAAAGTATATAAAATATATTTAGTAATAACATAAATCTATTTACATAATTAGTAATAAACAAATATGAAATTTGAAATTAATATTTAAAATTAAAATATCGAAGATTTCTTTTTAGAAATACCAAAATTTCCAATTTACCAGAGATCAGTCTTCGGTGATGGGGACTGTCAATATAACTAGCACCACTAAAAACATATTCTGAAGAGATTATTGCAGAATTTTTAAACAGAATGCGAAAAAAAATAACTAATTACTATTAAAAAAATTAAACATAAAAATTGATTTCGATTTTATATATAAAAATTAATGGTTTTTTAGATATAATTTTTTTTTTAAATTTTATATTTGTTAAAAGCGCTATTTTTTATCGGATCGGATCAAAAAATTTTATAATATGCCGATAACCGATATTTTAAAATGGATCCGATATAAAATATCGGTACATCCCTAATAATATCTGAATTTTTCAATTTTATGTTGAATCTTTAATGTAAAATAAAAATATTTCATTTTATTTATAGAAACTAGGTGCCATATAACCAGAGTTGTTAAACGCTATTTTTAAAAGTAGCGCGCTACCGCTATAGCTATTTGTCAAAAAAAGTAGCGCACTACCGCTTTCGCTATTTGTCAAAAAAAGTAGCGTCCTATTAGCTACTTTTTATAAAAAAAAATTTAGAAACAAATTTTTTTTTGCTTATAATGTAAATGTATAATAAATAATATATAAAAATCAACATTTATAAATATAAAAATATAGTTAGTTTAGATTATAAAAAAATAAGCAATATGAATAAATATTTATTTTAATTTGTTGCATTTTAATAATATGTCTGGCATCCTATAATTCTTTTAAGGGCTAAGGCTACAGACCTTCTTTTTAAAGTCCTAGGGTCTAACCAATGGCCTGTGATTCCCAAATAAGCTCTAAAAATATTTAATCAGATCAATTTATAAATATAAATAAGTTTTTACCTTCTGTTATGTGTCCAACTATCTGCCGTGGTACATACATAAGATATATCTGATAACTCTACTATTAGAGCATCTTTCATCACTTTGAAGTTGTCGGCTATTTTATTCATAAGTGTCTGGCGACATAAAACAGTTGTGCCAGGGGATAAAGTTTTAATCATCATAGTAAATGATGGATTATCAACCAAGGACAATGGCTGAACTGTGTCAATAATAAAATCAACAATTACTTTATCAGCCAATTTTTGTGAAATATTGGCATGTTTATTATCAGTTAATTTGGTTTGGATAGTATTTGTCTTTTTGAATGAAGATTCTCCTATACCAAAATTTTTTTATATGTTTCTCTATTTCCTTATAGCAATTGGCGTAAACAGTCATAAAATAAATAATATTATAATGTAAAAATAACAATTTACCTTTAGGTGTTTCTTCAGGTTATAGCTACTCGATTGATTTGATGATAATTTTTTTTTACATTTTAAGCACAGGAATTTGAATCCAGATTTTGTTTTAATATTTTATTTAAAAAAATTTTCAAATCTAGGGAATGGGAAATCGTTATTAGAGCTATTAAGTACATTTTCTTCCATTGAATCTTCCATGTCTGAATCACTTTCAAGGATTTGGATATCCATGGGCGATGCCATTTTAGATTATTAACAGAGATTGAAAATATAAATTAAAAATATATTTAAATTTCAAAATTAAATAATAAATTATAAAAATTATAATTAATTATGATATTATATTTAAATTTTCATGTTTATACCTACATTCATTATATTTTTTAAAACTACTTCGCTATAAAAAAAGTAGCGCGCTAAAAAATTAAATAATTTTAAAAAAAGTAGCGGCTATTAGCTATAGCTATCAAAAAAGGTAGCGCGCTAAGTTTAACAACTCTGCATATAACATATGAGTAATTATAAAAATTAATTTCTATATTTAAATAAATTCGGGCCGGGCCGGTAAATTTATTTTAAAAAAATTCGGGTTGAGCCGGCAAAATTCCTTTAAAAAAAATTTGGGCCGGGTTGTGTTGAAAAATTAGGCCCGATGCAGATCATTAATATACACTAATGTTGATGCATAAGGAATTGGGCAGTATTTTTGAATTTCAGTTTTTATTACACACTGTGTCTGATTGCATCTTAATATTTAATTAAAACTTTCATGTTACTACAACAAGAGTGTATTTAAGTGTTTATACAGTTATCTTTTTATTATAAAAAACTATCAAGTATAATATATGAAATATCAGAGATTTTGTTAAAATTTCAAAAATATGATGCATTATGGAATTGTAGTTTATATTGTATCATTGAGCACATCTAAAACTAGAAAATTTATAAATGTTTATATCTAATATTTAAAACTTACATGTTCCTGGATAACAAGAGCTTAGGTAGCATCTTCAGAAATTGTATAAATAATTTTTGAGTCAGCCTTTCTTTCAATTTGACTACTTAAAATTGATACCAATATTTTTTTGTTTTTATCATTGAAAAGTTTCTGTTTGACCTATTAAAGGTAATTATTTTGAAAAAAATTGTAAATTTTCCATAATCATTTTAAGTTTGAGGCCATAAAAGTTTCTTTCTCTAATTTCACATCACTAAGCATTTTAATTTTAGTATATCAAGAGCATAATATTGAGATGTGTTTAAAGCTACATTATCAAACTAATTCTTGTTTCATATTGTTATCCCCATTTTTTTTCAAAACTAAATTACATCTAAAGGAAATTTTCTTACCGTCTTTTGAACCAGGTTCTTTATAGTAATCAAATAAATCTGAACAGTATTTATCAATTTATTTCATTACATAATTAAATCTTTTCCAAAGTTAGTATGCTGCCAAAGTCAACCTCTTCTTTTTTAAAAAAATAGTTCTTTATGTATATAAGAAAATTATTAATCAACTTGCCAAGAATTTAAAATACATGCCAAATAATTTTAAATACTGCCCAAATCAATAAAAAGTATAAAATTTATAAAAATACCTACCAAATATTATATCTATTGCCCTTTTAATAAAAATATTGCCCATTTGGATTAATTTTAGTGTTCATTTTTAAAAAACTTCACAAATAATAGGTTGTCTTATTTGAACTTCAATTTGTCAAAATTTTGAAACTTACAAACATTATGCTAAATTTTCTCAACAGATATGGGATTAGTATTTAATTAAATTAAGATATCTCATAATCTAATATTGTCCTTAGGTTAACCTATATCAGAACTTAACATGCAACATATTTTATTTTGATTAATAAGATAAAACTATTAACTTAAATTCCTATTTATTATTGTAATTATTATATAAAATATTTATGTGCATATGATATAATTATACATTTTTCTATATTTTATTATTTAATTATATAAAATTATTATATCTTAAAATATTTAATCATAGTAACAAATAAAATATTTTGTGCAAACTTAAAATAAATATAATTTTATTATGTAATGATGAAATCATATTAAGCAGCAGTTTTTCTTATTTGTTATTAAAATATTTTAATCATAGTAACAAATAAAATATTGTGTGCAATTTCACTTATGTGATGTTAGAATCATAATATAAGCAGCAGTTTTCCTTATTTATCATCTTCTAGCTTCAATTAAAAAAATTTCAGGACATATACTCCCACCATAAGAATTTGACTCTTATAATTTTTCAATTCTTGCGTTTAAAATCATCTTTCTGAAGGTACCATGTTACATAATTCATAATTATAACATCAATAGAAAAAATAATTTCTTTTTCCTATTGCTAAACTGTAAATTATGGTTTAACTCATTAGTTATGTTAAACGTTTATGATTAGATGTTCTTGGAATTTCTATAACTATATAAATAATGCTTATTTTTTTAATATCATTTATTAATATATTACTCCAAAATAAAAATAAAAATTAAATATGAAAAACCTTTATATAAATCCATAGCTGAAATTTTATTAACTACCTAAATAACTATATTAGTGGCAAAATATCATATTTTAACTAAAACTAACAAATATAATTTCTGAATTATAATTACAAATAAAATACTATCCAAAAGAAGTTATAATATAATTAATTTAATTAAAATCCTTTATAAGTTTTCTTTTATACACATTTTCCTAGATAACTAATATTCTATGGTCTATAAATTTATGAAAAATAGGTGGCATGAAGTTTTGATAAGTTATATTAGTATATAAAATCTAATTGACAGCAAAGTTATAACTGATTCGTGAAATATTTAAAATTAAAAATAATTGTTTTTAGGCTAAAAATTAACTAATATGTTAAAAGTCCTATTGTAAATTTCTTATCTCATAAAATTATTAATGCAACTATATTCAAGGGGGAAAAAAAATAACATATATTGGAGTCAGGTTTCACTTGTAAAAGTTATCGCTTCTCGGCCTCTTGGCTAAGATCAAAGTGTAGTATCTGTTCTTATCAGCTTAATATCTGGTACGTCCCCTAATGGGGACCAGTATATTAAACTTATTTTTGGAAATTTTGGGGAGGTGCTCTGGGCTTGCTCATCCCTCCCCTAAGGGTCAACCTGGTATTGCAGTACCTCCAGGAGTGGCCCAAATAATAAATCAATTAAATTTAGAACTAATAATGTTTTTAATTGCGTTAAATTTTGTGTTTTTTTAAAGTTTTATTTTGCACCAATAATTTAAAAAAACTTGAAAATATTATTTTATAATTATTGCTTTCAAACGTGTTTAATTTAATTGTTTTTTTAACCTACTAGGCGGGATCGTCCCATTAGGATGTTGGGATTGTCGAGAGCGGAGAGCAGGTTGATGGTGATGTACCATGATGCGAGGCTGAATTGGATATAGAGGAAACTGGAAATCGTGGATCCTCGGGGGAGAGAGAGCCACGAAGGACTGGCGGTGAGTATGGTTCCGATGTATATTGGTATGAGTTGGCTTCGGGAATTGAGCAGGGAATTTGGGGAAAGTCTCTCGTCGATGCTAGCCTTGGTTGGGAAGGCGAGGGCTCCAAATGTATTACTTTACGCTGGGGAGCTACTGGTACGGTAACCCATTCTTAGGCTGGTGTATGATAAGGGAGTTTGAAACTCTGATGAGGGGGATATAACCACCGAGAGCAACGGGCTTGGAGGTGGTGACAATGCGAGAAAGTCGGAATCGTAATTAGCTCTAGACGGTATAGGCTGGGGTGTAAGATGAGCTATGGCCCGAGGTATGATTACAGGAGTCGTTTGATCAGAGTCTCCGCGCAGTACCGTTTGTTCACATATATCAGAGTTTTGTGATGTAACCCGTGGTTGAAGATACCATGAGGACACCAATGGTTGGGAGAGTGCAGGAAGATTGGGTGGCACGTCTCGTTAACCATATATTGGAAGAGCCAATGTTAGCCATCGGACTCTGGTATCCATTAATACGGGGAGCTGAATGCCATGGCACAGAGCGTGTTGGTATTGGCTAGTTAGTATTATGAGTGGCACTATTAGTAATCCAGGTGAAAGGTGGATTCTCATTGGAATGATATATAGAAATATCCTGCAGGCTAGCGGTTAGGATAAGATGGATCGTGCCCTCCGGACTTGCAACTGAAGCTAGCATCAATGTAGTTACTGAGCAGTCGATACCAACTCGCTACGTGCCATGGCATTCAGCTCTCCATATTATCGGATACCGGTGGCCACATTGGCTCTTCCAATATATGGTTAACGAGACGTGCCGCCCAATCTTCCTGCACTCTTTCAAGCCCATTGGTGTCCTCATGGTATCTTCAACCACGGGTTACATCACAAAACTCTGATATACGTGAACAAACGGTACTGCACGGAGACTCCGATCAAACGACTCCTGTAATCATGCCTCGGACCATAGCTCATCTTACACCCCATACGATTCCGACTTTCTCGCATTGTCACCACCTCCAAGCCCGTTGCTCTCGGTAGCTATAACCCCCTCATCAGAGTTTCAAACTCCCTTATCATACACCAGCCCAAGAATTGTTATCGTGCCAGTATCTCCCCAGCGTAAAGTAATACATTTGGAGCCCTCGCCTACTCGCCAAGTAACTCGCCTTCCCCACCAAGGCTAGTCATCGACGAGAGACTGTCTCCAAGATCTTCCCCAACTTCCCTGCCATCACACACATATTCAATTCCTGAGGCCAACTCATACCAACATAGTACATCGGAACCCTACTCAGCGCCAGTCCCTCGTGGCTCCCTCTCGCCCGCGGATCCACGATTTCCAGTTTCCTCTATATCCAATTCAGCCTTGCATCATGACACATCACCATCAACCTGCTCGCAATTCTCGACAATCCCAACATCCTCATGGGACAATCCCGCCTAGTAGGTCTAATGCCGCTCAACTTCAACTTAATCCGCCCAGTTGGAACTCAGCCCATACAAGAGTTGAATATGACGCCCGCACGCGTCCCAAGCCCGTCCAGCCTGTTCACTTCATCCAACCGAATGTCCACATCAGACGACCAGCACCCAGATCCCACCCACAAATCCAGGTTCCCCCATCTCCCTTTCCAAATCGTATCACTAGACCTCCAATTCGTCGCATTTTCTTCCCGAATCATCAGTCCAATCGACCTAACTCGGGTGGTGCCATTCCAGTACCCAGACCTCGCCCACAAATCCATACTCCCCCATTGCTCGCTTTAAATCGCATCGCTAGACCTCCAATTCGTCGGATTTTCTTCCCAAATCATCCGTCCAATCAACCCAACTCGGATGGTATCATTCCAGGAGCCAGACCTCGTCCACAAATTCATGGTCCCCCTTTGCCTGCCCCGAATCGCAGAACTAGGCCTCCCATTGGTCGTGTCATCGACCCAACTCGAATGGTGTCATTGGGATACCATTAACTACGAACCAATATGAGGCGTTGAGTACCGTAGATGACGTTGACGTGGTCGTATCCCAGGAGTCACCATCAACAAGGATGGCAGCTCCACCAATAAGGAGTTCCATGCTCACACCTCGGGGCACCATTCTGATGCTACCATTTGCTGAGAGAATAGGGCGGTTCCTGAACACACCTGCAGCGGAGGAAGAATGGACCTCGTTTACCTCGGTCATGGACGGCATGATCTCGACGGCCCACGAGATACTACGGATATGGCCACGAGGTTGCAGAGTCCGGACACCTGGAAATGATAATGATAACACGGAGAATCCAGGTAATTCGGTGGACCGCAACAATATTGCTTGTGACGGAGAGCAGTCCAAAAGCTTTACAACAATAACCGGAAAAGGGCAGTCCGCCAGATTGTTGAAGGGTCTTCCTCTCACTGTAAAATACTTCGCGAGGCCGTGCAAGCCCACTTCGAATCAACAATCGGGATAGCAGCGGACTGCGATACGTCAATCTACGGCATCCCGGAGATAGCATCGCTGGAGATAAGTAGCTTTACCGCGGAGGAAGTATCCAACCAGTTGCAGCTACTCTGCACCCGGTCCTGATCAACTGACCTTCAACAATTGGAGGAGACTTGACTCGCAGGCTACATTGTTAACCCACGTCTTCAATGTATGCCTAAATCATGGTAGGATCTCTGACTCTTGGAAGCAGTCTACGTCCGTGCTCATCCACAAGAAAGGTGATCAAGCAGATATCCTTAATTTGAGACCGATATTGTTAAACAATTGTATATACAAGAGGTACACTGGTCTCCTAGCCAATCAGATATCTACTCACGTGGATGATAACGGCCTTATCTCCAGAGGGCAGAAAGGGTGTGTTTTTTTAAAGTTTTATCACTATTTTATAATTTAAAAAAACTTGAAAATAATATTGTATAAATGTTGCTTTCAAATGTGTTTAATTTAATTGTTTTTTTTTAAATAAAAATTATATAACGAATAAATAAATATAATTAAAAACTAAAATAATAACTTCTATTTTGTTAAATTTTTAAAAAAATGATCTAACAATTAAAAAATCACTAAATAAAAATTGCAACGATATTAAATTTTTTAAGATAATCTTTTTTTTATAACATTTTATTTAATTTTATTAAAAATGGAAAAAATAAATATTTTGCTAAATTTAAAAAAAATATGATTTAACAATAAATTATAAAAAAATCACCAAATAAATTATAGCGCCAATAATTATATCAATAGCTCCACAAAGTATTTTAAATATTTTTTTGATTATTTAAATTTAAAACTTTTTTTTTATTGAGAAAATCTAGCAGAAGAGATAATTTTTGTCCTAAATAAAAATCTTCTTATAAATTAAAAAGCATAAGTGTAATAATAATAACTTTTTAGCTAAGTTCTATCTTCACGAAAATTTTTAGCTGTTTGCATTGTTAATTTTTTTACATATATATGGAAGAAAGGTTTGGACTTCTATTTGCCAAATCTCGAATCTTACATAATATTAATTTGGCTAAAATCTTAATTAGAACGTTTTTAAAAATTGAGACAAAACAACACTATTTTATATATCTTATTCAAAAATACTTCTTTTCTTAAAATTTATTAATTTTTGGATTATAGAAAAATATTTATTTTAAATAAAAAATAATACTAAAAAATTACCCTACGATTTAATGATTAATTATATGTTCTTCATTTTAATTTGGAATTCTATTAAAAATGAAAAGTTAAAGATTAAAAAATTCTATTATTTATATTTTATATTAATAATCATTTTATTACTTATTATATATATCACATATATTATTTTATTTATTAATAATGGCATTATTATTTCTAATCATAAATAAAGGAGCTCAACTTCGGGTCGGATTGAATAAAAACCCGGATCTGTCGAAAAAAAGACCAAGATTTTGGTCGAGTCAAAAAAAACAAACCAGATTTTGGGCTAGGTTATGTTTTATGACCCGGATCGAGATCGTAAAAAGGACCTAAATTTTGTATCTAGGTCGAAAAAATCGACCTATGTTTTGTGTCGAAGACCCCAGTTTTGAATTAACTACTATATAAATTATACATATTATGAAATCGACAGGGCATTTGCGTAAGAGAGTGGGGATTTTCTCCTTAGCAAATTTGCCTTTATCATTTTAAATTAATAAAAAAATATATCTTTACAGTCTCATAGCCCTTCTCCCCTTATCCTTAAAAAAAATGAGATTTTTTAAAAAATATTCATGGTGAAAAAATTCAACACATAAATCTTTCCCCATTTACTAAAATCGGATTCCCATGTCGCAGGATTAGATCCAATTTATAAAAAAAGGAATAAAATTCATATGAAATAATTTAACTGAATAAAAGTGAAGCCTTAAATTTAACAAAATTTTAGCTTTTATTGAATTATCTAACAATTTTGATACCAAAAAATTTTTAAGAAAATTTAGAATAGCATATACTTGAAAAGAGACGATATTTTCCGTGAATGGAGAGAACATTATCTGCGACCTTATATAAGAAATTGTAGGAGAAAATCATCATGGGAAAGAATAGTCAATTTCGATAACTATGGGCATTAGTAGAGGCTCAGAGAATAAGAAAATCCAGAAAATATAAAAACCGGAAGAGGAGATATGCTGGAAATAAAAAAAAATTGAAAAATATTAATTTATTTTAAAAATTTATATACAAAAATAAATAAAACGGAGAAAATGTATGCATGCATATAGATGGACAATATAAATAAATAATATTACAAAAATATTTTAAAAATTATTTTAAAAAAAACATAATAAAATAATATTATTTTTTTAACAACTTCTAATTTATGTATATTATAAAAAACCGCTTTACAATAAAAAAAATATTTTGAACGCATGTCATGTGATGTGATTTTCATAAAATTTTTCCTAAAACTTTTATTTATTTTTTATTATTCTTATTACATATATAGTAGATATATTTTTTTATTATATAACTTATAAAAAAACTTCAAAAAACTTATTGTATATAAAAAAACTAGAAAACAACACTCAGACAATATACAAAAAAAGTAATGTCGTTTTCAAATGTGTTTAATCGTCGTTACCACTGCAAGACCGTAAGTAGCATTTTTTTCACAATACGTTTTTTTTGGATAAATGGGTTCATCTTATTAAATATAATAAAAAGAGGTAAAGAAAGTAAGATTTTATTTTAATATACATATTGAAATTAAATATGAACAAGCAATTAATTAACGTCATCCTTAAATATAATATTAATTATCCAATAGTAATACTATTTTTTCAATTTTAAATAAAAATAAAAACTCCTAATCTTCGTGGAGAATTTAAAGATCAAAAAGAATGCACAAATATTGGAACAAAGAAAATGATATAGTTTCTAAAATGTTACAATGCCTTAAAAAGAAATGTTTACCCATCGGATCATAAATTTAGTTTAGACACGACACATTCTCAGAATTAAATATAGATCCTCTAAGAGAATACAATATTCAAAAAGAGGAAATAATAAAAAAGATTCTTCCATAATTGAAAAAAAGATCATTAGCTTATTAATGAAAAATAACATTCTTACTATCCAGTAGGTAGATAATATAAAATTTTCCCCCTGATATCCAAAACGAAAACAACCAATATTAACATTTTATAGTAAGTTAAATTTTAAATTTCTTACCTAAAAATATTTAATACTGTGAGTGACACATAAAATTCTTAAACTGTTGAGGGTCAATGGTTGGTTTGGTGATTCAGAGTATATTACAAATTGAAACCCCCCTTTCTTTAAAAAGGATATTATAGATTAAAAAATTCAACAAAGTTTAATTGAGTTGGACTAATATAGGTAATCAAAATTTTAGATATAATTTTAATTCAAGCTAATGCAAGCGCAAAGCGTCTTTTTTTGGAAACGGGGGATCCCGGGTTCGATACTGGTAGGTGGCAAAAAATTGACATTAGGTTATATAATCTCCTTGAATTTACTTGAAGATGATATGAAAACGATCATGTTTTGATTATGGAGATTATATACTTTAGATAACTCCAAATCAACATGTTTAATAATTGAACGATATTAAAATGCGTTATTAAAAATACTTCATGAAAAGAGAAGCAGTAATAAATTTTGAATTAATAATATATTAAATTTGCAGTTCACCCAATAATTTTTTTTTAAGTTTTTTAAAATTTTAATGGAAAGAAATATGTATAATTTTATTTTCAAATAGAATTAATAAAAATCAAAATTATTAACTTGGAATTCGAATAAAATATATCAAAATTTTGATGCCTACGCTGGTCTATTAAAAATTTTATGAAAAATCAGATTTGCTAGGCCCTGCCTGATATTTAATACGTAAATTGTCCGGCTTTTTATTCAAAAATTTTTCAGCCTATCTCATTAAGATTTTTTAAAAAATTTCTAGAAGTGAGTATTTTTTATATTACATCCTATTTTTCAATAAATCATCTCCTTATCCGGTCGGTGACAATTCCTTTTTTTATACAATTTTTTTTAAAAAAAGATTCCTTGATTTTACCTAACAAAAGGAGAACGAATTTGAAGAGATTCAGAAAATTTAGCGGTGATAGTGATAAAGTTGGTTGAAGATGATAATTCTGACTCCTGTGGAAAATGTAAACTATATTATGGAATGGAAGATGAAGAAATATTAATCAGTTTTCCATGTCTCAAGTTAAAAATTGGTTTGATCATAGGTATTTTTTTTAAAAAAAACTAAAATCTTAGTAGTATCATTTTAAATTATTAAATAGCTGTTGTCCCTGGTTTGCTTTTTTCTAAACAGAACTCTATTTAAAAGTCTATTTAACTTCCTCTAAACAGAATAGAGAGAGAGGAAAAATTATTTAGATTTAAGAACATCACACTCATTTAATTTTATAAAAAAATGGCGATACATATTATCATACTTGAGCGTTTGGTAGTTAATCATTTAAAAAAATATAAAGTAAATAATACAAAGGGTTTATAATATATTATACAACACTTTATTTATGGAAATTATTCGGAATTATTACACAAACGTAAGCAGAAGCAGACGGTAAAATTTTTAATAATGTTTACACACTATAAATTTCCACCAAAATTTAAAATAATATTTAGCAAAGCTCATATAACTGTAAAAATATAAGATTAAAGACAATTGAAAAGAATATGTTAATAAATCAAAAATAAAACTATTTTAGTAAAATAACCCTTTGAAATAAAATTGGATCTCATTGTTAAATATTGAACGTTTATAAAGAATAAATTTAATAATCATAAATAGGAGAGACCTGCAGGCCCGGTTATAAGCCCGGCTCGAATACATGAGCCGGGTCATATATTTTAAGACCGAATAAATCGCCAATTTAAAAAAGAATCCTGGCGGGAGGAAAAACAGGTGGTGCAAATCGTATCTATACAGGTCTCTGATAGATATATTAAAAAAAAAATTTTTAATAAATAAAAAATTATATATAGAGGTATCCACAATAGATCTGCAAAAGTAAGCCCGGACCGTCGTGTTCGGACCTAATATTGTTAAAAAAAATTCTAGCCGCCGGGTCGGGCCTAAGAAATTTTTTAAATATATCTAAATTTATCAATTTTATGTTGAAATTTTTATGTAAAATAAAAATATGTGATTTTATTTATAGAAACTAGACACCATATGACATATATCTTTTATTTTGAAAATAAATTCGGACAAAACTTTTTTTAAAAAATTTTGGGTCGGGTCGGGCTTGAAAAATTAGGCCTGATAGTTAACAATACAGGGTTTGAAATGTGCAAATAATTATATTTTATTGAGAAATTCTGTGGGATTTTTATCCTCATTTTTTTTATGAGAACAAATTATTCGAGCAGTTTTTTATTAAGAAATGGACAGTAAAATAAATCAAGATGGACTGTAGAAAAAAACATTTAATAAGTATTCTACATTTGTGGGCAGTTAATTTTTAATTTTCAAGTTTTTTATTTATTAGGAAAGTATTTAAAATATATAGTAAGTTTTAAAAAAAATTGGCAGGCATAAAATATTTGGTAAGTTAATAAAAGATTTTCCAGATTTTTTATTTACTTGGGGAGTTGTATTTTCTCTAGTACCAATATTACATCAAGCTATATCAATAAATTACAATTAGATAAAAACCAAATTATTTTTGCTAGAGTATCTCCATTCTTTATTAAAAAATGGGAATCAGCAGTTTCTGAATTTGTTAAATATTTTGAAATGGAATGACTTGATTCAAACAACACATGGTATGAGGGTTTTAAACACTTACACCTAGCAGCAACAATTCACTAGAAGCAAGCAATAGAGTAATTAAAGATGAAAATACTTTTAGAGAACGCTTACCTTTATCGCATTTTAAAATTACTGCTATGAAGATAGTTGAAAAATAGTCTTTAGCCTATACTTCTTTTCTATGACATATCCAACAATTACTTTAGAAATACGGACATCAGGTTATAGCTGGGCAAAATTTTAAAAAAAATATTTCATCAATTATAAGGGATGATTATATTGAGTACCCCTGCTGATAAATTGCAAGTGATTATCAGGATGAAATAAATTTTCTAAAAAATTTAGAATGGATTAAGTTTTTTTTTCCAGGTGGATTTTGGGAATGTTTATATGATATCTATAAAATTAACAAGGTTCGATTGTTTATTATTTTACAATTTTGTTCACTATAGAATATTTTTTTAAAATATATGTACTAAAAAATAAATGTATTTTTAATATTTTTATTTTTAAATTGATCGGGTTCTGGCAAATGTTCATCTTCTTTCAGGTCGGTTCGAAAAAATTGTCTCTTGCAGACTTCTATTAAACCGACCTGGATTCTCGTAACCGAACTTTGAATCTAACAATTATTTAAAAGTAATTATCATTTTATATCGTATGGGTAATAATAATAACAAATTTTTATAATTTTACAAATCGTGATAATAGAAATTTTAAAGAATTCTTTTTTTTTGTTTCATTCAAATATTTTACCTTCAAAAATATAAAAAATTGAGGTAAAAATAATTTTAAAACATAAAAATGAAATTTATTCCATTAATTTATTATACCCCAGATTGAGAAACAAAAAACTATTATTATTAGTAAACTATAATTATATTTAAAAATGTCCTAATTTTTCTTTTTCTTTCACTTTTATCGGGAAAATAAAAAACAAATCTTATTTCATTATTATATTATAAATAAAATAACAACATTTTAAAAAATAATAATTCTCTTTTTTTATATATAAAAAATATAAATATAATGATAAAATAAAATTAAATATAACAATTTTTCATAAAATATCAATAGTATATTTATTATTTATTATACCTATGTAAGTTGTTTACCTGGGTGTCCTAAACAAAAGGTGCGTCTAATTCATGTTTATTATTATTATTATATCTTTATAATTTAAGTTTTTTTTAAATGTAATCATAAAAAATAGTAATAATATTTAGAAGAGCATTTTTAACGTTTCTTCAGCGTTTTATCTTTTAATAGTAATCTTTAACTTTAAATGTGATTATTATATATTATAAGGTTGAAAGTGATCATAGCTAAAAAGAAAGAAAATCGTTTTTTTAAATATAATTTTAAATGATAAACATTTTACCATGTTTTGTTGGAATGTAAATAATCATGTTTTGCAACACTATTCTGACCTTAATATTCTGGGCAACATTTACCCCATTTAGCATTTATTGTGAGGTGAATTCTCAAAATTCTTTATCTGCCTATTTGGATTATAAAGGTTAATTATAAAATAAAGAGGTGTAAATTAATTTTTTAAAAAAAAAAATTATTTTGTTTACAAAAAATAAGGAAAAATGATTGATATATGTACTTTATTACATCCCTTTAAGCCAACGACAGTAGTATTGTCGCTTTACCTTACCTTGTATTCACAATTAGCATTAGTACCAATTCGCCTTGAAATGTATAAAAATACAGCATATTTTGTATACTTCGCCTCGAATTTATGCTAACTGTAAATGCAGGGTTACTCCTAAATCAAATTATTTACGCGAGTCTATTTTTTTTATTAAAGGCACGCGCACCTCTCGGTGACAAAAAAAATATGCCCTTTTACTTTTGTTGCTAAATTTTTTTTTATCTCGACCTACCGTTCACATGAAAGACAATATTTTGATTACGCCCACCACCCCCCCCCCCTCCCAAAAAAATTCACCTTTAACTTTTTTTCTAAATTTTCAATACTTAATTACTTCTTTCCTTTTTTGAATTTATTCTATCATACTTTTTTTTATTTCTTAAATTCATTTAACAAACAAAATAATTACCATTTATAAATCAAAATATTTTTATTAAAAGATGAATGTCCATATTTTGAGTTTAATTGTGTTCTTCCTTCCATTAATAACGATTTGCTATAGAAAAATAACGTTTCAATAGAAGCCGAACTTGCCGAGGCTAATTAAATTTTACTATCAAATTTTCTCAAGAAAGGAAATGAATAGTTTTCCAGCTTACAAAACTTCAAAAGATTTTCTAAGTTATTTGATTTATGAACGGTGAATCTTTTAAGTTCATCTTCACAACTTTTATGGATAGGTGTTTCAACCTCATAAGACAGAATAATCTAGAAATTCTCTAAATATTTCATTTAAACGCAGTTTTTTATATGTGCAGGATAATTAGAAATCAAAATGATAGTTGGTATTATTGTCTTATGTATATCGTCGAATTTTAAATCATTTAGCATTTTAAAGTTATTTATATATATATACCTTTTCACCGTCTATAAACTTAAGACTTTTGAAATTTGGCATTATAATTAAGCCTACCTTATGTAGTGGCTACATAGTAAATCTTCCTTTAAAAGAGATAGTCCAGTTTCTTAGGGTTCTTATTATTACTGGATCACCTTCTTAAGATTGTTTCATTAATTTTTGATCCCATAAATAAACTTCAATTATAGTAGGATGAATCTATGCTTAGATTATCTTAGCATTTTTGAATAGTGATAAAAAATATCTAACTGGTATATGATATTTATATCAAGGTTAATCTATATAATTCTTGTTTGTTAAGCAGGTATTCTTTTATTTCTCAGAAAATTAAAACAATAATTAAGGTGTTTAACTTTATTTTTAATTTTGACTGACTATAATTTGAGTGCAAATGATTAGTATATCGTAAAAATAAATTATAATAAAACATATTTAAATTAAATATCCATTTAAACGAGAGTTTTAAATCTTTGGAATGTTGATGATTGATCAAAAATTTTTTGAGGTAATTTGGATTCGCAGGAGCTGTTTTTCTCTTTAAAATATGATGAACCCCTTCAAAAGATTATTGGTACAAGGTCCATCAATCTTATATATATCTAAATATAAAAATAAGGAAAATATAAACTAAATATTATGCTTTTATTACCTTTTCTATGTGTTATGGGGAAATATGTTGTTACGGCTAAGAAATATAGTCGTTCCATATAGTCACAGAATCAAGGAGTACAATTTATTCATACTTGGGAAATATCTTCCCCCGTACAAAACGGCAAAGTTGTCATAGACTTCACAGCCGTGTGAACGTTGGAGTTATTCTATAAACTAACTAAACCAAGAGATTTACATCTCCCTCTCAATGCTTGTGAAAAATGGGAAAAACATCCTAAAAATTATATTAAAAAATATAATATAAACAGTCATATGGGAAATACAAATGTGAGAACATGATATAGCAGCTGCTTTAAAGTCTATTTTGCCAATTCTTGGATTAAATGACTGAAAGGTCCCATATAATTTACATGATTGTAACTTTTATCTATTTAGATAAAAAAAAGGTTGATGAACTCCTCACCATCACCAATAATCATTTGGAGGGGTTTTATCTAGCCTTAAAGATAAAAACTGCTCACTCGCATCCTAACGTCTATTACCTCATAAAATTTTGATCAATCATCAACATTCCAGCCATTTAAATATTATTCAGAACAACAATGGATCTACAGTAAGGCAAATGAATTGAAAATATGAACAAATATTTTATGAGTTATTTTTAAATAAGATATCATATTTAATAAATTTTTAAATATTAAAATAAATTATTTATATAATATATCATAAATAACAAATAGATTTCCATTTTTAGGTTAACGCGCCGCTAACTTTACACAAGACTGGGGGGGGGGGGTGCTTCTAATTTTTCTTAAGAATTTATTTTTTAATCTATAAATTATGCGGGAATTCAGCCCCTCCCCCCACCCATTTTATATCTTATATTGGCGGGCATTTGGCGCTCTTTTTTCGGCCTCCGGCTAGTTTATATATCCCTAATAACTAATTATAATATATATATATATGTATTCGTTAATTTGAATAATATCTCACCTAAATTAACTATCACCCTTGACTTTTCAGGTAATCCACCTAAAAATGTTCAAATTTACGCCGGAAATGATAATCTGGTCATCGAAGGGAATACTAAAGTACTTATGTGCGACTCAGAATTCTCGGATACTAACATGAATGTGCAATGGATCAAAAATGGTAATTATTTTAACGAATCAGTCCTATCGAACAATCAAATAGAGGAAAAGTTTTTCAGGATAAATAGCGCGCACGTTTCTGACGGGGGTGTATACCAATGCTTGATGAGGAACGATTATGGCGCGGCATTAAGTTTACCCCTAGAATTAAAAATAGGTTATTTAGGAAATTTTAGCCACACTGGATTATTGCGATCACGCGTCCTACCTAAATCCGTTAAACCCGATGCCTTTACATCGACGTATGAATATATTGAAAAAATAAACGGTAAAAATATACTGGATATGGGGTTCGATTATCAAGACGACCTGAGCTCGAAACACGAATTTTCAGAGGATTCATATGTTATAATAAGGTCACCTTTGATAGAGAGCGTTCCAGAAATAGAATACATTTGGTACAAAGATGACAAAGCAATAACACCCTTAAGCAATCTTGACCCAATAGCGACAAACAATTACATTCAGCTGGAATACGAAAATAGTCCCTTATCTTATTCGTTACTAATAATTAATCCCTTATCGAAAATGAGTCAAGGCAATTACTTTTGTAAAGCCACAAATCCAATTATAGGCATATCTCGGAAAAGCCGCCTTTTCTCGATATACGTTAAAGGTATTATTCAATAACAAAATAAAATATTAAGGGAATAAGTATAATGGAAATATAAATATTTGCACATAAAATTTTATGATCTATCTAATAACAATTTTAATCTTTTTACCCATTAAAACATAATTCTTTAATAAAATTTTGATAATTTTATTCTATGAACTAAAGGGTCAGGAGAGTCGAACCGGTCCGACAAAAGCCCTTAGTTACCTTTACCCAGCCGGAAATAATAATGAAAGAAAAAACATAATTGACTAAAATATAACAGGCCCATAGCAGAAAACTTCAGTTAACGTGGGGAGGGGGGGGATAGCAAAATTTATTTTTGGGATTATTTAATTTTATTTAAATTAGAAACAAATTAGCGCAAGTTTGGAGCTGAATTATAAGCTTTTAAGAAAATTGTGAAGTTCCACAAGATTTTTTTATCTAAGAAATATATTCTATAAATGAAGATAAAATTTAATATTATTTTAAACTCTTGCCCGAACTTCACCTGAGCTCGAAAATTAAAATGATCAAACTAAACTAAATGACCACCGAGTTTACGATATTTTCCTATAGATGTCAATTTTCGAGTTTAACATATATGTTTTATGTTTGTTGGCAGGCGAAATCAGGTTCATTTCACTTAGTTTCAGCCATACCTGTTTATATAAGATTTCTAAAGATGACATTTAATACACAAATATACGACTAGAAGCGAATATTTTAATTATTCACATCATATTTACGAATTAAGAATATTATTTCTGATTATTCGAATAATTTTTAAAATTTATCTCATTTATTACTTTTAACATAATTTCATAAAATATGATTGCTATATAATGCTAAGAATTTCTATAGAATGAATATATAGTCGAACGAGTCTATTATTTTAAAATAATAATATATACATTTTTCAAAAATTAGTATTAAATGCTAGGTGGCGGCAATGTGTTATTTTTTTCAACCTTAAATCATTTATTGAGCGCTTTTTTTAAATTTAAAAATCTGATTTTACTGGATATAATATTTAATCATATTTGAAATATCAACCCTAATGTATGAATCTCAGACAAATTTTGTCATGAACTTTTTAAACTTAATATAATAAATTTTTTAACATAAATTACAAAAGACTCAAAAGGTTAACGATAAAATTGTCTATATTTCATAAAATAGGTTTTCTAAACATGCTGGAATACATTTTCGGTAAAATCAGATTTTTAAATGCTAAACGCGCTCAAAAAATTATTTAAATTTGAAAAATAACACATTGCCGCTAACATATACTATAAAATTAAATTAAAAAAAAGAATTATACCCAAATTTGTAATATTGCCGCTGCCCTTTGATGAAGGGTGAGTCAGAAACTTGTGCTATATTTTCATAAATTTGCACTTATAATTGATAAACTATTTTCGTGAAATAGATGTTTATTTTACATAGAATAATAAACAACAATACGTATAAATTTAAGTTTTATATTTTTATTTAAAATATAAAAAAATAATATGATCTCTTTTCGTTCAATGTTTCGATTCGATGACATTCTTATTTTTCGGCTTCAATTTTTTTAAGAGTATTATTATCTTCTATTGCTATTATTTTGTTAATTGATTCGAAATAGAATATTTCGGATGTAGGTTAAATTTATTTGTAGATTTAAGATGATGCGCATTTAATTTATTATTTTTTAGGTAAATTTAGCTACAAAAAATTTATATTATGCCCATCTTCCGATCGCTAAAAAAATATAATGATAAAATTTGTTCTATTTGCAGAAGAAGAAGAAGAAGAAGAAAAAAAGATATATGTTTTAGACAAAAAATTAATTTCATTTTTAATTTAAATTTTCAACAAAATAGTGAAAACAATTGCGCGTTATGAGCGTGTACTGGCTTGACTTATTACTATAATATATGTAAACAACCTTAAATACAAGACAATTTAATAAAAAAATTAACGAGAAAATAAATATGAAAAATAACAATGCCACCAAATATTTAAAACAAACCAAAATAGGGTGTCCCAGTTTATATGCTGTGTAGTTTAGGCTAAACAGCGATTAGGTATCAAAATTAAGTAGAACCTGGACACAGCCTATATATTATTTCTTGTTAGAACCTTTTTTTAAAATTATAACATGTAGTTACGAGAAAATCGATAATGGCACAACCCATAGACGGACAACTTTGGTGTGGGCATAGTGTTGTTAAAAGCCTCGATTTGAGCCAATTTTCAAAAACGGCCAACTTAATATTTTATCCCGAAAAATATTAGGCAACCTAAAAATTTTGGTCATAGAGGGCATAAAAGTTTGGACATCTATTAACGAAATCTCGAGGCTTAATTTTTTTCTGGCTAAAATATTGAGTTAGTAGTTTTTAAAAACAGCTAAAATCGAGCCGTTTAACAATTCTAATTGGGCATCTATTTTCCAATTAGTCACATACGAAATCCCAGATTAACTAATCTGTTATATATATTTTTAGAATTTGAAAAAATGCTCAAAGTTATGAAAAATCATTGAAGATCACAAAATTGATTTTTTTTTTGTTTTAAAATGATCAAAATAATTTTTTCATAGGCATAATAATCACAAATTTAGAAGATATTTTTTTATAGAAAAGAATTTTAGGCAAAATTTGATCATAAAACTAAAAAAAATTTCAGATATCTAAATATTTGAAGATTGTTTTTATTTTGAGAAGCATTTCAAACACTGAAAACCTGGCATATTGTTACAAGATATTTTGTGACATGGTGGGACAATGTAATCTGAACTGAACTATAATTTATTTTTCTTCTATTCTTTTTCTAAAAAAACCATTATTGTTTTAAATTTTTTAAAACAAAATTTTAAAAAATATTCTATTGTTTTCTTTTAAAAATAAGTTTGCCTTGCCTGCCATGATTATATATTTTTTTTATCAATTAATTTACATTTTTTATTCGGAAGAGGTTAAATGAAAACATCTAAAGGAATGTCTCCTTATTTATTTATTTTTTTTGAGAAAATGTGAATTTTTTTTCTATGATTATGTATTTGTATACACCTAAATAATAAGCAAACAAGTTCATATAATATTAGTTATAAAAGAAATAAATGTATGTGATCATATAGAGTAATTATTTAAGAGAGCTAGTGTTCCTTAACGGGCTCGATATTCTCGAAAGCCTAAAATTTTTTTATCATATTGCACATCAATAAACGAATTCTCGATGCGTGCACAATATTATTTTGACTTAAAATTGAATCGAGCTGTTTAATAACACGACAGCAAGCTTATATAAATAAATTGGATTTCTATCACCCCCCCCCCATTCCTCTCCCTATATCTATTATATGTTATCCTCTAGATCACCTCCCAAAGATATAAATAATTTTTCGAATGTCATGGAGTTAGGGGGAATATCGTCGCTTGAGAATTTGAATATTATATTTCCAGGAGATCCATTTTAAATTAAAATTCCATTGTTTTTCATAGGATTGTTAACCTAGTATCTGATTTAATTTGAGTTAAATTTACAAATATTTGAATTTTTTAATGTATGCGACGATATGTAGAGGAATTTTAAAGAGCATTTGTGTTAGTCTTAAAGTCATAATGTAATGGTTAATGAGATCATTAATCGATGATCTTAAAAAGTATTTTGTGCTTATTCTGCATATTATTTTTCTTAAATATTGGATTAATATATTATTAGATTTACAACTAAAACCAATATATTATATGAAAAATTTTTTTTCCTCGGCATTTTTTTAAGATGTATTAACCTTTTTGGAAAATTAACAAACATGATATAAAACAAATTTAATTTAAAATTTACGAATTAGGTTTAATTATAGCAGTTCGTTAAAAACAATTAAACTGATCATTAAAGAATTATCTAATTTGAGCGTCAGACACAATTTATACTTAATTATTTTTAAGTTTTTACAATGCTAATTTGCAAAATTTCAGCTTAACTTACATATTTTTAAAAATAAAAGAAAACCCTAAACTTATTTAACAAACATGTGCGAACCGGGAGGGGCAAATTAAATTTTTTTGAACTATTCATGCATAAAATATTACCGACGAGCCTTGCAAATCTTAAATATTCTTTGAAATAACATAATTAGCTTATTTCATTATATTTTACGAACTGCCTAACGAAATTAAAGTCTCTAAATAAAATAAAAAAAATTTTAATCCCTATTTTATGGAAAATTATAGGCCGGCCTGTACAAATTATGCCTTTATTAAGAAATTTTTATATTTTTAGACAGCGAATATTCAGATAATACGATTCCACAGGTTATAATCCCGCCTAATAATCAAATGCTTCGAATGGGAGAGCCCAAATCCAATTTTCAATGTGTACCATATATCAAGTATATAAATGTCTTGTTTTTTTCGATTTAAGACAAATATGGTTTTAAAACATATTAAATTTTTTTCAAATTAGATCTACCGCAGATGATATAAAAATTCGCTGGTATCACAATGGGTATCCCATTTTATCCAATTCCCATTATATCGTCTCCACGAGTGGCATATTTATGACAATCCTAAACGCCGTAATTTCTGACTCCGGAAATATATCTTGTCAAATAACATTTGGAGATGGTCGCCGCGAAATTTCGCAATCAAGTCAACTAAAAATAATTGGTATAAATTATATAAATATATCTCTTTAAAATACAAATAATTATGTGTTAATCCATATTCAATTTTTTAAAGAGAAGCCCATTGTCTTAGGTAAAACTTTTCGCCAAATCGATATTAACTACGACGCTAATTTTAGTCTTTCATGTGAGGTTGATCTTAGAAGGTCTTCACCTGTAATTTCATGGTTTCATAACGGTAAACCACTCAAGTCGTCAAAATATATAGTAATCAATTTCCATTCATTTTTATACCTAACAATGCCTACGGTTTTTTTAAAAAAATACTTAGACTGTGTTCTGGTTCAAATTATTTTAATACTTTGGCTAAAAGTGCATTTGAACTAGTTGGTTGACATTGTTATTTTATGTATTTCTTTTCTCATTTTTTTTAAAGTTTCTTTCGTTTTTTTTAAAGTCGAAGTTAAATGACCTGCTAAAAAGCCGGCTGTTTTAGTAATGAGTTGAACCAGGACATCGTTTTGTAACTTAGGCAATTTAACTTAAATTAATATGGTTCGTTGGAGCACACTTCCATTCATCTTTAACAACATTCATTATAAAATTCAGAGTCGTTAAAATATTATGTAAAAGGTATCGATTATATGATATTTTCCTATCTACATATTAAACTCTCGGATGTTTATCTGACATAACAAATAGATTTCGAAGTTATTCATTTATCCATAATATTACATTTTAAGAATCATCAAATTCAGAACCAATTTGTTTAAAAAAATATAAAGTTGGCCGAAAAATGGTTCATTAAGCAAATCAGAGATCAAGCCCATGTATAGACATTAGTCCAAAATATTAATTTATCAGTAGATTGACTTCTTGATTTTTAACTATCCATTAAATGAAGGGAACCTGTAGATTAAATTCAAAATACCTTAACATTATCTAAATTTCTTGAATCATTTAAAATAAAATAATAAAAAGCATATCCTGGATAAAGATCTAGTCATAAAAAATTTCCAATTTATTAATGATGGTTTGTATCAATGCTTCGCCGAAAATTACGCCGACGCAACGTCGCAAAACTTTTGGGCCCGAGTTAGCGGTATATTTTTTTTATTATTACCCTATTCTTTAAAATATATTACTTTATTTTAACTTTTTACTATTCGTTAGCTTAAATCTATTTTTGATGCAACTGTCCATTGGAGTGGACATAGATTTATGTAAAATACAGATACGCCGATAACAACGGTCTAGAGAGCAAATTTTGATACCGATGCCAATCAACATAAAACATCCGAATAATCAAATTATATTTAAAATATTTTATTCTTATCATAGATTATCCACCTATACTTTTAAGTAGACTTCAGAATTCAAGCTCTGTTCTGTCCACAAATATATCGCTTAATTGTTCCTTCATTAGCAGGCCGAGGGCTAAAATAATTTGGATTGAAAATGGTTCTTATTTATTATATATAAAATTTTGTGATTTTTTTTTACCAAATTTATTAATCTTGAATTGAAGATTTTATTAATCATTGAAAGAAAGAAAGAAAAAAAATGAAAGAATAATATAAATATTTCTCTTTATTTTTTTATTATTATTGAATAGGTAAAATTATTTTAGAAGAAAAATCTGTCATTGTTTATACGATACCTAATGGTGGACTCCCATATACAAATGTATCTTGCTTGATTGCGAATTATTTAGGATCAGTCAAATCCACAGCCATAATTAAATTAATAGGTATGAAATTATAAATAAGTTTTAAAATATTTTCTAAATGATTTTTTTTACTTCTTTCAAAAAAAGCAAAAACCAAAATCATCCGTTCAGATAGAAAAATACTCAAAGTGATCATAGGCGAAGGTGTTTCTATACCATGTCTAATCCAACACGACTCATCTATTCCCATCTATATCGAATGGTTCAAATCGAATACCCGATTAGTAAAAGCTAATATTTTCCAAAATAATTTATCGAACATGCAAAAATTTGACACCACATCTACGCGTTACAATTTGAGATACGGAGAGAATGATTATTCACTTAATTTTATTAACTCGCGTAATACGGATAAAGGGGTATATTCTTGCAAGGTCTCTTCGTCGGCCGGGGATGACGAGCGGAACATCTCGTTAGAAATCATGGGTAAAATAAAGTCGATGAAAAATTTACAATTTATATTTTCCTTTATTGTAATTTATAAACATCTTAATTATCATATTATTAAAATAAATCAAATATAGAGTTGCCCTTTCCCCCGCTTGATGTAAGGGCAACCCTGGTCAAACCAATTAAGGATGGTAAAATTAAAATAAATTGGATATCCAACTTTGACGGTAACAGTCCAATATCGCATTATATAATTCAATACAAAAGACCTCGCCTTAAAGGTAAAATCATTTTTTATATAAAATATTCCTAAATATTTATATAACTTTGTTTCTGCCATTTTTTTTAAAGAATGTTGCTGGTTGTACCATTCTAAATTTTTGAGCAACTCTTCAGAATTAACGATACAAGATCTGCCATCTGATTCTGCATATATTTTTAGATTAAAAGCTTTAAACGAAATTGGCGAAGGGGCTTGGAGTTCACCCAGTAACAATATTACGGTTCCAATCGCAGGTAATATAATCCAAATTATATATTTAAAAAACCTACAATATTTATTTATATTTTTTAAAACAAGAACCCGATATAATACCAAAAAATATACACGGCGCGTCATCCGGGTCTAATTGGATTTACATATCATGGCAGGTAAAGTATTTAATAAGCGCCATTATTCAAATTATATCAAAACAATTAGATTTCTACAGAAGAACTACTAAAGGATCGGATTTTAGGTTATATCATAAACTACAAACTCGCTGGATTTAAAAATGACCACTCCTGGTTGCAAGAAAATTTAGCTAGAAGCTCTGTAACTAGCTTTAACCTAACAAATTTAATTCCCTGGAAAGAGTATGAGATAAAATTAGCTGTGTATAACAAGGCGGGAACCGGTATTCCAGCGGAACCAATTAAAGTTTGGACCAATCAAGGAGGTTTTAAATAAATATTTTATAAAAAAAAATATTTTAAATTAAAAAATTTTTTTTTATAACAGTGCCCGAAATCGCCCCAGTTATAGAAAAAGTCGTCGTGTTAAATTCTACTGCTTGCAGTGTATCCTGGATCTCTCCAGATCCACAATTAATTAACGGGATTATCGTGGGCTATAAATTTCGTTTTTATGAAGGCGTGAATTTGGGGACAGCATTTAGGACAGTGACACACGTGATTACAAATGTGAAAGACAGTCGATCCGCTTATTTTTCTAGCCTTCAAACATTGGCCATTGGCGGACTTCAAAAATATTCCTTTTATCATATCGATATGAATTGTTTTACCGAGACTGGTGACGGGCCTTATTCACCGCTCCCAATAAAATTTCGCACATTTCAAGACGGTTTTTAATTTTTTTTTAAATTTCTTTTGATTAGTTTAGATACAATATTTTAAGATAGGTTATTTACATTTTATTATATGTCCTAATTAGTAAAAACTTCAGAAAAAATGGTTGTGAATAACGAAAAATTTCGTAGGTTATAAGAATAATTCAACTAAATTTCTTTTATCAATTATACAAATAATAAATTTTTAAACCAAAATGAATATAAACTTTTTTTAAGTGCCATCAAAAGTTCGCAAAATATCTATCACAAATATAATGACGTCATCTGCCACCTTAAGCTGGTTAAATCCCATGCGCATTAATGGGATATTAAAAGGTGATTATATTATCATTTAATTTAAGCAGAGTTTAAAATGCTATCCAAAATATATTATTTAAATGAAAATTTTTTTTTGAGAATGCTCAAACAAAGTTTTTTGATCAAATTACATAAAATTCTAAATCTTTATAAAAAAGTCTTTCATGATAAAATAATAAAAAAAATTTTAAAAATGATTTTAAACATCTTCATGATTATTTGGGCAAAAAAATTTTTTTTTTCAAACTCTGATTTTAATTAAAGCACAAATACCTTAAATTATTTCTTTATTTTGGAAAAAAATAATAATACAAAGGTTATAATATCCAATATTATCCGAGAAATCACAATAATTCCTCACAACATGAAATAAAGGAAATATTCGTCGACGCTGAAACGGAAACCTTAAAATTATCGGATTTATTATATTCGATCGAATATATTGTAAACATATCGGCATCCACCGAAGTAGGGAGGGGACCTGTTCAATCTATAATTTTCGTTTCCGGATTTAGACCCAGTTTTTACTTATTAACATAATAATGTTCTCTATATATTTTATGATGTTACCGACAATATGCATTATCAGGTATAATGAGTGTAAATTGCCGGATTAATATTTCGGGCAATCTCCATGAAAAATCGTTTAATATATAAATTTAAAAACTAAGTCAATAGTTTCATACCAAAAATTTATGGGGTCAAGTATTTTAACAATACTGGAATTACATTTTTTGGGCAAAATCGCATCTTCAAAAATTTAAAAAACCCGCTCAAATAAATTATTTTTAGCGTTTTTTTATATTTGAAAAAATCTGATTTCGCCGGAAATGTATTTCCTGTGTAAAATACCTATTTATAAATTTCATAATAATGTTTATAAAGAGAGCATATCACACATATTTTCCTTAATACTCAATTGCGTATATAAGAAAAAAAATTATATTTGAAAATGTGTTTTTTTTCAGATTTACTTATTTAATTTAAAGCCTGAGTTAATCATAGCTCACTACACGAGAGATATGATACGTATATGCGTCATTAAAATCTCTGAGAAGAGGACCCTCTTATTTAAATCAACATACAGAGGCCAGTCTCCATTTTATATTTTAGTGACGAGGGGGAGGGGGGAATTGAGGACTCTTGTGTTAATTTTAGCTTTGTATAAGGAATACATTTAATAAAAAATGGATTCCACAAATCTTACCTTTACAGACTATAACATAATTAAAAAATTTATCATTTTGTTTAAAAGCCATTCCCGGCCAACCAAAAATATTAAATGTCCAGAATAATTCGACCAGGGCCAACATATCCTTGGAATTCGGTTCTGACGGTAATAGCAAATTGTTATCCCTCGTAATAATGGCCAAATACAAATACGATGATAGCTATATACAAAATTTAAGTTGGTTCAAAATAGATGAGATATTCATGGACAACAACAAAATGACTAACGAGAATATTAATATAACCATATCTTTGAAGTTTTTTTTTATATATTAATTTTTTTATATATTTATTACTCCTCTTTTATAGTTAGCGTCAATTCGCGGAGGATTATACAAAATATGCTATATTTTGGTATTCTCCGCCATCAATTCGCTCGCTAACTGTGAATGCAGGGTTAGGTTTATTTTTCAAAATCAATTTTGGATAATTAATTAGCTTCGAATTATTATTTTAAATTATTTTTGTTTAAATAGGGAGTCGAAGGAAATAGTTGTCTTAAACTAGATGAGAATTTTAAAAATGAATGAAGGAATTATCTCATAAATATATGTAAGTATTTTTTTTTAAATTGTGGTTAATACGAGATTACTTAAATCGATATTGCCGATTTTTTTATAAAAGTAATATAATATTTTTGTTTTGCATATTAGGGTCTTATTAAATCATAATAATAATATTATTATATTTATTTTTATTATGTGAATATTTAATTGAAAGTCCTAACACATACTACCAGTTGGCCGTGAAAGTAAAAAATATGATAGGCGAAAGTGATATTAGTCAACCTTCTAACATGTTTAAGACCGGATTATACTATCCGACCGTATCTCCAAAAATTATAGGTAATAGATGTTATCGTAATCGAACGTGCATCGTTGTGTGGATTCCCTTAAAGTATTCAGAATGGAATGGACCACCCTATGCTTACGATATAAACATTTATAATACCATTGGAAAAGCCAAGTTATTGATATATTTATATATTTTTTCATAAATTTAATATTAAAAAAAACAATATCTACTAATCAAATCACTCATCTCTTTATTATCATTCTAGCAACACGTATTCTGTAGAAAATTATCTCGCGACATACTATAAATTCACCGATCTAATGCCTTTCACAAAGTATACTGTAATCATCGTGTCCCGTAATACCCACTATAAGCATGATAACGGCTCGCGAATCATTCTCAACACTTTTCCTCATAGTAAATTTATACGACATATTTATTTTTTATATAATTTAAATTGCTTCCAGAACCCTTAGCCATACCTAAAATAGTCTCAATTAATTCAACAACTACCACTGCAATGATATACTTTGAAAAAAATTGGGAGAATTCTTATGATCTAATTGATTATCTCTCGGTTTACAAAAATAAATAATCTAAATAAATGATTTAAATTTTTTTTATTTAGGTCAAAATACTTCTGAATTCAAATATTTACCTTGAAAAGATATACGCTATTAATACACTCAATCAATCTTATATCTTGATTTTGGGACTCGAACCATTAAACTCTTACTCTAATATCTTGACTTATAGGAATATGATGGGATTAGGAATACCGAGTGTTCCTTCTTATTTTAAAATGGACAAATCAAGTATATTTATTTATAAAATACAAATTTAATCATTATTTTAAACTATCAAAGCTCCCTTGCTACCTCAATACATGCAGTTTAAATTAATTAACAATCGATTTTTATTAAATTGGGCGCCACCTTCGCACTCAGTACTCGACGATTTAATATATCAAATATCTTATAAACTCAACACCAGCAAGCATTGGACTAATACCGTATATACGGAGAAGCCGAATGTTACTCAATTAATGGTATCATTTATACATTTTATTTTAACGATTTTTTTTTGCTAATATAAAACTAACTAAATCTTGAATATATGGCCTTAAAATTTTTATCGAAAAAAGGACTCATTTAAATATATTTTTATAAAAATGTTATCAATTAATTGTAAAATCATACAATGGTATGTTTATATTTACTTAAAAATATATATTTATATCGCTTTTTTATATTAAAATATATATATATGTTAGCGTCACCGGCAATGTGTTATTTTTTGAGCCTTTTTTTTAATTTAAAAAATGTGATTTTACCTGAAATGTATTCCATTTGGAATACCTACCCTATGAAATTCAGATAATTTTGTCATGAACTTTTAAACTTAATATAATTTATATTAGTTTTTCCATTGCTTTTTCATACAAAATATAAATCAAAAGTTATCAGTAAAATAATCTACAATTCATAAGATAGGTTTTCTAAACATTCTGGAATACATTTTCGGTAAAATCAAAATTTTAAATTAAAAAAACGCACTCAAAAAACAATTTAAAGTTGAATAAACACATTGACGCTAACATATATAAAAGTATTTTATTTGAAATTAAGTAGTGAAGACCATATAGTTTTATTGAAGGTTTACCTTTTTTCTTTCCAATTTTTTTTAAAAAGATTCTCCTCATTCCTAATATTTTTCACAAAAAAAAATAAAATAAATTATTTTTTAGATATCGTCAATATCGCCGAATCTAATATACGATTTCAGAATTCGGGCTCAGAATGAAAAAGGATGGGGTGATTTTTTGACAACGCAAGCTTTTATACCGATTAATAATACTAATATGTTTGAACGTAAGTTTTCAATATTAAATTTTAATTTATAGGGTACAGTAAAACTTGTCTGATTTGGGCTCTTGATAATTTGGGTAACTTCCTTAATTGAGGTTTTAAGTCTCAATCAAATTTTTATTAACTATTATGTATTACAAAATTGTTGATAAATTGAGCGAAAATCTTAGTCCTAACGGTGCCAAAATTAGCCTGGTTTTACTGTGTATGTCATGGAGTTTCAGCAAATTTAAAACTGCTTCATTGGCCCAGTTTTTTAAAGTCAATTTTTCAAAATTTATATCATTTATAGCTTTGCATTTAAATTTGGCAGGAATTACATTTTATTCCAAAATGTTTATAGTATAATTACCCTATAATTTAATTTTAATCATGAAATTTTCGATTATCTTTAATTATCATGCACAATCTAAAATTGATTTGAATTAAAATTCATCTGAAATTTATAGGATAGGTACTATACACATCCTGGAATACAATTCATGCTTAAAATTTTTTAAAAAAAACGCACGTTTATAAATGATATATGTTTTAAAGATGTACATACCGAGAATTAGCGATATCTACGACATATGTATGTTGGCGACATTGCCTTTTTTTCGAATTTCAAATCAATTTTTGAGCGCGTTTCTCAAATTTTAAAAATCAAATCTTACCTGAAATGTGTTACACAGCATTTTTAAACCACCTACTATATGAATTTTCAGACAATTGCCGATAATTTTTGAATTATATATAATACATATATATAAAAATATACTGAAAATACAAATATAAATTATATTAAGTTCAAATGTTGATGGCAAAATTGTCTGAAATTTGTAGGGGTAGATATCTAATCATGCTGTACATTTCCTGTAAAATCGAATTTTTGAAATTTAAAAAACGTGCTCAAAAAATGATTTAAAGTTTTAATGAAAATAACACATTGACGGAAAAATCATATTGACGATGGCGCTAACATATAAAACATTATAATGAAATAAATAATTATTATACTAAAATTGAGACGTGTTTACTAGAATATAGCACCCTCATCAAATAATAATTTATTATTTATATAGTTAAATAAATTTAAACATACAATATCAAAAAAATACTGTAAAGTTTTTAATTGTAAAGGGAAGCAAATCTATATAAAAAAAATTATAAATTAAATAATAAAAAACTGTAATGCAAAAATGACAATAAATAATCATAAACTTAAGTAATGATTAAAATTTTTAAAAGGTTGTTGAATACAAATCAGCTGGTTACATGCCATTTTTTTTGTTTATGAAAAGTTTTAATATAAATTATTTCTATGGGGAAAACTAAAATGGGATGTCATCAGCTGATTTTATTGATAGTATTAATATGAATGAATGGACTGTCTTGGTGGTATTTTATCTCATTGCAGTGAGTCTCATAATTTAACCGTTTCAGTAATAATAAGATTTAGGGATGATTATTCTGAATTAATCAAAATAGTAATAATATATAATTCCTTTTATGACTGTTTCTTTTCGTGAGATGAGAGTATTAATTTTATTTTTCTCCTGAAAATCGATATGATTTCTTTTAAATTTGTTTGAATTTTTTCTTATGCTCGTGATACCTTACAACTTAAAAATAATTCCTAATATGATTGTTATTTTACCTTTTTTTTGTTTTTATTTTGGGGAGTAAAAGAATTGTAATTTTTAATATATATTTTAGCAATAGGAGAAGAAAATTGTACGTTTAAAGTCATTTCTTACAAAAGTGATGCTAGGATGGTTACGGTCACTTGGAAGGATCCATATCAAAATACTCCATTTCCGACTAGATATTATTTTTTAACTTATCAGAAAATGGGGAGAGATTACGAATTCAATCGTCCAAAAAATATCGAGTGGAGCGACGCGAATAATCTTATTATATCTGCCAAAGAATTCTATCATTTAATAAAAAAGTTCTTTATTGAAATACCCACAAAATAAATAAACCATATATATATTTTTTTTAGTTTGGATCCTTCCAGTACCTACCTGTTTAAAATGAAAGCCGCGAATGATATAAATGAAATATGGTTGAAAAATGGCAAAAATAATGATGATTTCATCTTAACTTACAGATCGCCAGATTTAGCTCCATCTCGATCTGCCACGATATTAGATATTAAGATTATAGAAAAACAAAACGTGAAAATAAACTGGAAGGTATTTATTTATACATTTTAACTGACCTGAAATTTTAGTAATAATAATAATATCGATTATTTCTTCTTTATCAAGATATTTTAAAGCAAATTTTTATAAGGGAAAATTGGGAAGTTTGATTTTGTCTTTGTGTAGAATTAAGCAGTGTGAAAAAAAGTATTTTTTGAAAATTTAATATTATTTTTAAGTAAAATCTTATTAAATCTCAATTCTTGAATTTTTTTTTTTCAAACTCTGAGATAAAGCGCAATATTTTATTCCCTTTTCATGATGTCCATTTTATGTTTAACGTTTTTTTAAGCCTATACCTGCCAGCACTTGGAACTCAAAATTTATTTATTACTCTATTCTTTTTGCCAAAATAACCGACCACACATATTTGACCGATGTTGATTTAATTACGATGGAACACAAATATAAGGAGGGATTGAAAGCGTTCAAAAATATTAACGTACAAGAGAATCCTAAAAATGAATACGTAATCCGTAACCTGATTCAAGAGTATGGTACTGGTGTTTACTCATTTCACGCTGTGGCATATAATAATATCGGTTACTCGAATATATCCAACCCGATTTTAATGTTTTTAGGCGAAAGTTAGCAATTTTTTTTTGAATGAATTTACAAAAATGACATTCCTTTTTTTAAAAAATATATGTTAGCACCATCATCCATGCCTCCCGTTCCTAAAGTAATCACAAAAAATTCAACATTATTAGTACTTGAGCCATATTATGACAATTTGAATGGATCCTATTGGCTTACAATCTATTCGTTAAAAGTTAGTTTAAAAAATTTTTTTTATGATAAAACACCAAAATCAAATTATTTTTAAAAACCTAATCTCCATTAGCATCGCGGGGGGGGGGTCATCAAGTGTAGTCGTGCTTAAAAACAAGAGCGATATTTAAGGCGCATGCTCAAATCAGATTTCTGAGCATGCCCTTGCCTCTTTTTCCGCGAAAACCGCATTATCTGAATACTTAACATGTTAATGCTTTGAAAAATAATATATATTAACAGTTAAGGTTCCGTGAAGCCGAAAAAGACGTATATCAGTATTTAGACGTTTACTGTTCGACTTGTTTGGGTGTTGAACAATTTCATGAAACCAAATCGATAACGATCACGAATCTAAAACCATTTACTACATATTTTATTGATATCTCTTATCAAAATTTGAATGGAGTTGGCGCTTATTCATATCCCGGTATTAGGATCACTACTTCTGAAACTAGTTAGTAAAAAAAATATTACTTTTGTTGGTACAAATGAATAAACATAAATTTTATTTTAGAGTCTAGTCAGCCCTCAAATATCAGACTTAAAGATATTACCATGAGTAGTGTTAGATTATTATGGGATCCTCCGAAGGCACCCAATGGAAAAATTCTGCGATACAAAATCGAATATATATCTAACAGTAAAAAAAACAATTAATGAAAATATTTTTAATAATTATATATTTTTTAAATATTAGATTTTAAAGTAGAAAAAATTATTGATATACATAAGCCACGTTCTGTTGTTATTAACGGATTGATACCGTATGCCGAGTTCAATTTTGGTATAGCGGCTGAAAATAGTGTAGGTTTAGGCATATTCGGTTACACCAAGATTTATATTGGTCCACAGCAAAGTATATTATTATATTCTCTTAATTGATTTTCTGATATGATATTTTAATAATTTTTTTTTGTCCCTATGTAAATTTCTATAAAAAAAATGTTTTCATATTCTAAGCATTCTATTTATATCATAACTTATTTCTACCCTGAACAGGAATTTTATCCATTTTTAACAAATGATTATAAAAAAATTATAAACGCCATAAAATTCGAAACTATATTTTAGATTCCCCACAAACTCCATTGAAAGTCGACTTGTACCATAATTCAGGCGAAAAACATTTAACTCTGACATGGTCCTTATCAAACTTGGAATATGACATACCTATAGAAGGATATTATGTGGAAGCTTTTACACAAACGGATGATAATATAACTACATGGCAAAATATGGTAATATAATTTTATTACTAAAAAAACTATTTGAACCACTAGGCCTTTACCCCCTCAATATTTTTAATTTGAATATTTATGAATAAATTTCAAATATTTACTTATAATTTGGAATATTTACAAATAATTTTATATATGAATTATATGAATAATTTTGAATTATAATAGACCCAAAATTATTCCACCGAGTAAATATTTTCCTTATTCATCATATTCGAATCTAATAATTTTGTTATTCCTAATTTATAAATCAAATAAAATAACAACAAATAATTTGTTTTTAGGCATACATTATGCCAACATTTTTATAGTTTTAAAAATCAAAAAAAAATATGGTTGCTTGACTACTATTCTGAATAGAATTACCTATAATTTTTTAACTAACATTAATATTTTTGAATATCTGGCAGAACGTCGCTCTCGATTTAGATTCTGAGGGTAATATTTTTTAGAAAATGGCGCCTAAACCCAATCCGATATAATATCTAATAAAAAAACTTTAATATGTTAAATAAATTTTTTTGCTATATTTTTCAGTTTACAATTCACGAAAACGATACTACCTATTTTCAAATACCTATCCAGAGTTTAGCGATTGGAAGAAATTATTCGTTCAGGATGATCAGTTTCAATTCCCATGGAGTCAGTAATTATTCCCGATCGACTCATTGGATGAATATTACTCCACGTAAATAATTAAAATTATTTCTTTTTAATCTAAGATAAATTTATTTGTCATAATTTTAAATGTTTCTCCAGCTTTATATACATTTTTTTACTAACCCAATCAAATTCTTTAAGCATATTATACATATTTTAAATATATTTTTTTGAAAAGAAATGATAAGAGAAATAAAGAATAAATCAATTTTCTACAACAAGTCCTGGTTTTTGATCATCATCGCTCTCTGTTCATCCATAGTCATTGTGTTATTAGTATCCTATTTGTGTTGTAAAAGCAAAGATATAGAATTTCAAAGTAATTCCCTCATTTTTCAAAATAATAAACTAAGAGCTGGATAGCGACCATAAAGATTTTTGTTTAACGACCCTCAGACGAGGCTGGATTCATAATCTTACACGATTTAATAGCCGGGCGATTTTAAAAGTCTTTAAATGAGATCAATTTAAAAAAAATAATAATTAATCAATTTTTTGGATTATTATCATGCATAAGATAAAATTGATATTAATTAAAAGAAAAATTAATCACATAAACATATTTTAAAAATCGATCAACTGTTAAATCGTATCAGACCAGATCCCACTATGAATACAACCTAATACGAAATTAATTATTTTTATTTTTTAAAAAAATATTTTGTTTTAGAAAAAGTTGTTAACGACCATAATGGATTGGGACTAGGAGTAAATTCGATCCTAAATTTGACATCGGACCATATTGACCCCCGACATGGTCAAGAATCATATCTAGGAAAGCCTGCCGATATAAATGATAATAGTGACTATCAGATAAGGAGTCAAATCAATAGGATTCAAGGCAACACAGTATCGTCCAATAGATCGCGTCGAAATATCAATGGCAGTAAACGAGGGAAAAAATCTCTGAATGATAAATCACATAAGTAAATTAATATTTTACCAAACGTTAAATCTTTTTTTTATATTATTGTTTAGTAATTAAAAGATTCCAATTCTCATTTATGTTTTTTATATAAAAAAATAGTTATTCAGATTATAATGTAAACGAATTGCACAACATAGAAGGAGTAATATACCCGATAGAATATGACAATAGCGATACTCAGAGATCTACTCTGCAAAAACCAATTTACAGTCAAAATTTTGGTAAAAAGGTATCTGAGAATTCTAAATTAGGAACTTTTTCAAGAAATGATAACCCTTCAAGGAAACAAGGTGTCGATAATTATGGTTACGGAATAGATTACAATACTTTGAGTTCCGCGATGTCTATTAATGAAAAACCATTGGACATTCAATCCTACACTCTACAGAAAAATCAATACGAGGTTTGATATATATTTAAATATTATTTTTGGTTTTTAGACATAATTGTTGGTTATGGATTGAACAAATAATGTAATATAGGTTTAACGGGGCATAAAAAACCTTTTATTTTGTCACATTTTATTAGAAATATAAAAAGCGTTATTATTTAATAATTAATAGCAATACTTTAATACTATAAAAAACCTTTTATTTTGTCACATTTTATTAGAAATATAAAGCGTTATTATTTAATAATTAATAGCAATACTTTAATACTCATATGTAATTCAATTTTTTTTAAAAAAACGTAGTTTCAACAGGATCTCAATAACGATAGCGACATACAATCCTCATTAGTTAGTCACTATACAACGTCTCATTACAACAGAGAAAATATGGTTTTAAACCGGGATCAAACCACCCACTCTAAGAAGAGTAAACGTCATCCTAAGCCAATTCAAAATACGCTTTCTAAAGAATCTCGTAATCCTTACGGTAGCGTAACGGATTCCATTTCCACATTTGCGTCTCCTCAAAAATTCAAAAATGACATTTCGAATCAGGCGAGATTTGGAAAAAAGAATTCTAATAAGTTCGATTTAATGGTTCCAGGTACCAGAGCTCCTCTTCCCCCCATGAATTCATTTATATGACACTCCGAAAATATATATAATTACAGGATTTTTTTCCACTAGCATGCGTTGTTTAACTATTTATAAAAAAAATGCTCAAATGAATAATACAAATTTTACAAAATCTTTAAATATATTATAATACACTATAATAATTCTGTATCATATGTTTTATTTGACACCTAATTATTTTGATATTTTTCAAAAGTATTAAAACTAACTTTTTATGTATAAATTATTTAACTAGTATCTAGTACGCCGCTCGACATAACTATTATAAATTTATTATTTAATGCAATAAGAGCGAATATTGAATTTACCAATAATTATATATATAATAACATGTATATACAAGAACTAACACTATATTAAATATTATATATATATATGTAAATATAGCCATGCATATTTATAAAGATTGGAAGTTAACGAATAAAACTATATTTGCGATTGTTCTTTGTTCGATTAAAACAAATATCACTATATCCTATTACCTATAAAATAGGGTATTTTCCGGAATCTTTTTGCATCCATTTGTTCTTTTAAATAATTGTATCTGAAAACGGTATATAAAAATTGAAATTTTATCATTTTATTTAAAAATAAATGATTATGACTTACGCATCTCTGCATCTCAGATTGCATTGTCGCGGACAACCTTGTCCTATTGTTAAAGCCAACGACGTGTTGACAGCGCAACCGTATTTTTCGTAAAGATTCTTGCAAGACCCCCATATATTTTGGCACATTGAGTCTATATTAAAGATTAATTAGTGAAAAATATATTCTATATCATCTAAAATATATACCGCATTTCTCAAATAATTTCCCGGTAAATTCGTCACCCCGCGTGCATCTTCTTCTCCCAAGACATAGTTTGCAACTTTGCTTGTGTCCGGCTATGTACGGAAAATCCATTTCACCTTTAATATTACCTCTTCACTACATTATTATTTGGTAAAATATTTAATTTTTTTTTACTTTGGGCAATAGTTGCAGACCCAGTGATAAGTTCGATTATAAGGATCGTTAGGACATATAGCCATTGCACAGCCTACGTAGTTTGTCGAGCTCCAAACTAACTAAGACATTATAATATGTTTTAAAAAAAAATTATATTCTTTTATGTTAGCGTCAATGTGTAATTTTTTTTAACCCATTTTTAAAAAAAATTAAAATGTTTAGAATACCTATCCTATGAATTACCCACAATTTTGACCCTAACCCTTGAATCATTTGCCCAGTTTTCCCTAAAGAACAGAGGTTTTCTAAACATGCTGGAATATATTTCCGGTAAAAGCAGATTTTTTAAATTTGAAAAAATGCGCTTAAAAAATTATCTAAAGTTGAAAGAATAATACATAGACGCTGACATGTGTATTACTTGGGTATAATGCTTTATTGGTAGGCCATTTTGAGGCCCTCCGTATCTGAAGCCATCGCCTTCCTTGAACCACATAACTATAATATCTTCCCACCCGCCTAAACTTGGCGTGTAAGCTATATTTTGACCGCATCCCAAAACTTTGAACTCTATTTTCAAAACCATAAATTTTTAGTACATTTGATTGAAATTACCTTGAGGTGTTCTTTCCCCTTCGCTGTCATGTCCTTTATAACATTGTTCAACTCTGTTCACTGCAAGATGGGCCGCTTCTTCTAACCACCTCTTGTAAAAAATAACGTTTATTTAATTTAAAATTTTTACTTTTAAATATATCTCTAAAAGTCAACTTCAATTTTTAAAAAATATTATTCAACTTATAATAAAGTTTATTTATAAAAGTATTATGTACACGTCAGTAGCGTCACTGGAGGCGGGGGAACGCAGGGGCTCGAGCCCACTGAAATTTTTAAATACCAAATATAATTTTGGATAATGTTAGCTAAATAGCTAAAGTTGATAAAAAATAAGGTAAATTTGGATATGTTAGCTAAAAAAAGAAAGTAATGTTGACTAAAATAAAGAAGGGAATTTTGAAAAAAACTATTTGAACCCCCTGAGATTGCATCGTGACGCCTCTAATACGCGTAGATTAATGGTCTCATTACCAGTGTTGTAGTCCTAAAATTTGAGGAGAGGGCACTAGTTACTCTAAAATAAAAGGGTCAGAAATAGAATTTTAGTGCCACAATAAGAGGATATTTTTTTTTTTGATTGTTTATACATTTTTTAAGGAGTTTATATATTGATGCATAGCATATAATATACATACACTATATTATATAAAATAGCTATTTAAAAAGTTATATAAAAATTCAAATGCCGATCGCTTAAATTTTATTATGATATATATAAAAAATTAACCACTCGTTATTGGGAAAGGTTGTTTTATAATTAAAAATGCACAATTAAATTAAAAATTGCAAATTTTATTTATAAAATATGTTATGTTTATTTCATGATAAAGATTAATATTAATATGCTATGAAATACCATTTTAAATAAAATATCAAGGGGAAGGATAAATATATTTTCCCTCTTTACGATTACACCTCTGCTCAATAGACTTATAGTATATTACTTAGACTGATTTTTTCCAAAGTAAAGGGGACATTTATGTCTGACCTTTCTACCAATAAATTTTATTGGAGGGCTTTAGGCTCATTTATTGCAGTTGTAGGCCTTTGACCATTTCACATTTCGAAATTATTATTATTAATATACACAGATTTTATTAACTTCATAACAAGACTTTCTTTCTTTCTCTCTTTCTTTCTTTCTTTCTTTCTTTCTTTCTTTCTTTCTTTCTTTCTTTCTTTCTTTCTTTCTTTCTTTCTTTCTTTCTTTCTTTCTTTCTTTCTTTCTTTCTTTCTTTCTTTCTTTCTTTCTTTCTTTCTTTCTTTCTTTCTTTCTTTCTTTCTTTCTTTCTTTCTTTCTTTCTTTCTTTCTTTCTTTCTTTCTTTCTTTCTTTCTTTCTTTCTTTCTTTCTTTCTTTCTTTCTTTCTTTCTTTCTTTCTTTCTTTCTTTCTTTCTTTCTTTCTTTCTTTCTTTCTTTCTTTCTTTCTTTCTTTCTTTCTTTCTTTCTTTCTTTCTTTCTTTCTTTCTTTCTTTCTTTCTTTAATTTGTCAAGCATTTTACATGAGGTAAAAATGAATTAAATCAGTCTGTGTATAAGTTCATGGCCTCAAACGAAATCATAATTTTTTTAAAAATGTATTATATACTAATTTAAGCATGTCAGAAGCAGGAGGGGATACATGGCATCGATAATGATTGTGACTTTTGACAATTTTATAGATATCACTTGGGCTAGTCGAAATGATTTTGATGCCATATTTATTTATCGTATAATTCTTAATTTAATTTTTTGACAAGAATTTTAAAAAATATAAATATGATAATATAAAATGTAAAATGTAAAAGGCACTAATCTATCCTTACAAAATTAGAATAATTTCTTGTTAGATAATAATCTGGAAGATTATACTAAACAAATTTAAATAATCATCCTAGAAAAGCCAGAATAATCGTAAAGTCTTTGCATATGGTTCTCTTATATGATTCCCATGTTTTTGTTAATCAAACTTTTCGAATTCGCACATATGTAACATGTTTATATATTTATCATTATTACATAGTAACATTTTAAATCTTTTTATATTTTTATTTTACTCGCTTTTACATCGTTATCTATTAATTACGATACGGAATCAATTGCCGTATTATATAAAAGATAAAAGAAATTTAGTTGTTTGACATCTAATATTTAGTCCAAATTATATACAAGTTCCTGCAAAGCTCATAGTAGGATAAAAAATTCCTAAAATCGGATTTACGATAATTTCCTCTATTAGATTTGTGTTATTTCTAAGTGTATATCGGGTGGATCAAAAAAACACGTCATGTTTTGTAAAATTTATAATTCTAAAACGCATCACTTGTTCTTCAATGAAATTTCGTATTTATTTTAAAGAATATATACAACTTAATATTCTCAATTTTTTTTAAATAAAATTTATATCATTTTTTTACCCTGTACAATTTATGTTTTTCACTATATTTAAACATTTTTTATTTATGGAATTTCATTCCTTAGAAATAAAGTCACGATTAATTTTTAATAAAAAAGATACCTAGATATAATAAAAAAAATTTATTGGTGATTTTTTTGCATCTAAAAATATTTGGTTATTAAAAAATAAAGTTATGGAAATACAAAGAAATTAATTTTTTTATATTCAAAGTTCGAAAAAAGAACAAATGTAAAAAATAAACATTGGACCTAACTCAAAAATTTTGGTTACATCATTACGCTGGATGCTAGCAAATTATAATGCAAAACATAAAAATACTTTGAGATCTTTATTTGAATACAATCTAACACTATCATCTTCCACTGATGAGAACCAACTTAATTTGTGCCTTACTTCACAAGTTTCTCTGAAGATCCAAAAGGTTGTAGTCTATTTTATTATAAACTTAACGTCTTTAATTCATTCCACACTTGATAATGTAGACCTAGATCAGGGGGGGGGGCTTGTGTTTGGAATTTGGATCCCATATTTTGAAGTCACTTAAGCACGTTCCACCTTTTCTAAGGGAATTCATCAATCAAACCGCATTCCAAATCATTCTCCTCGTGGAATAATTTTTTTTTTTACCAGTTCAAGATTGATTTTCTTTTGATAACATTTTTAATTTACAAAATTACCGTTTTGAACATTTAGTGGTGTTAATAAAGGAGATTTATTAATAAAATTAGTTTGATAACAAATTTTTGAGTGGGTCCCATCCGAATATAGTTGATCATAATGGGAAACCCATCTAGCTTATTTAAAAAAAATATGTTTGATCAAATTTTCTAAAAAAGAATTGAAGATATTAACTTTTTCATAATATTTTTTTAATAAAATACGAAATTTCATTTTTAATGAAAGGAATGGCATGTTTTAGAGTTATAAAGGTTTCAATGCGATTTGTTTTTGTTTGAGCCACCCGTGATGTAGCCTAAGGAAGAAAAACTGATAATAGTATTATAAATTAAATAAATAATACAAAAAACTTATTTTCGAATTGAATTAATTATATTCTTTCTTTTCAAATAGTAAAATCGATCATAAATACTATAAGGAATAAGGGAGCTATTAGACTATCAAAATAGAAAAAATTTTTTTCCAACTTGATTGGATAGATATTTTAACTATGACTCTAATAAACCCTTACGATTTCAGTTGATTATAATTTTGATTATATCAAAAAATATATATATTACTCTTGTGTCAACCATGCTTTTAGGAATCCATTCAAAGATTAGACCTCGATTGTCTTCTCTAGGTTCCCATATTTTCCTCAGTATTAATTTGCATATAATACCTTTATTATAAATTTTATATTAAAATATTTATTATATATAGTTAGTATTGTATGTGCATAATTAAAAAAATATTCTTTGAGATCTCAAACATTTAAATCAGTAGTAAAAAAAAATATTTTTTTGCAATTCTGACCCCCAAAGGCTTTCAGTTCTATGATCCTTTTTATAAATAGTTTTTTTTAAACCCAACCCAACTAATACGACGTCAGATAACAAACAGTTAGCCTATGTTACTAGAGACATAGAACTTTTGAGAGTAAATCTTGCACCAATTTATGTTGGATTCTTATTAAATCTGTTGTTAAATCACCTAAAATTTTGACCAACTCTAATACAGCTGAGCTGCCAAATTCTTAGCCTAAAAAATGATTTAAACTTTTTCTTAGAGATTGAAGCGATTTTTTTTAGGAAGAAAACTAAGTTATCGTGTTGGAGTTAGCTAAAGATGAGATTTATAGAGTAATCGTATAAGTGTTTAAAACAAATAAGAAACTTATTAAGTATAATGATGAGATTAAATCGGGAAACATCTATCAGTAAAAAAATTTGAATTATTGAGATTTTTGTACCTTTTAAATTTAAACTTATTTAACCATAATAATAATTGTATCATTATAGAAAAAAAATTTAAATTCGTTTGTTCTAATTTTTTTTAGAGGGTCTTTAAAAACTTTTTGAAAACAGTATGAATAAACATAATATCCTTATTAAGAAATGACATGTTCCAAAATCATTTTTAGCTCTAAAGCAAGTAATATACATTTTGAAGGATTTATAAAGTATTTTTTAGAATGTCAAACGCTGGCCACTCTGGTCTTTATTTTTTAGGACAAAACACATCCTAAAGGTCCCATTGATGCGTCCTAAAATAGATATATCTGGGACAGTACGTATCCATGCCTTCCCACCCCTAAATTTTGAGTCGCAATAATTAAATTCATAAAGTCAAAATTTTTAAAAATAATTTTGTACCCCCCCCCCTTCGCTATCAAAAAATCTATCCTGGGACTGGACAGAACGTCTCACATGGACGCCAGATTCTGAATGGGACTCTAAGCACTTTAAATCTGAGAGAAGCGTACATTTCTTCTCGATTAAATGTTTGACCTTTTCTAAGTATAATACATTTTTCTTTTTTAAAAAATAACAAAAACTTTAAGATACAATTTCAATTTGGTCATGTTTAAAAAAAAGATTCGGGAAATGTCGAAAACACAATAAAAACATACGCTTAAAAGCGAGGGGGGAAAAGAGGAAAAAAAAAATATTGGCTGATTATATTTCTTACTTTTTGGATCTGTAAAAACAAGAATTAAAATCAAGAACCCGGAGTAATGCATAAAGATAAGATTGGTTTATTTTTTTCTTCTTCTAAGTAATATAATTTTTAACGATTATTTACATAATTTTTTTATAGATGGTAAAAAAAAATAATAACTAAAATTAAATATTTTGAGATATATTTTTTATTTTTTGAAAGAAAAAAATTGCGAATTTAAGAGAAAGAGAAAAAAGAGTACAATATTTTGATTTTGGAAGAAAAAATATGTAGACCGACAAAATATATTATTTTATTTATTTTATATATAATTTTTTTAATTACATTTATAATAATTTTTAAAATAATATAATATATATACATAAAGGGTCATAACCGTAAAAACAAAACTGGGACTATAACAACACCCCCCCCCCCTTCCCCCACTTAAACAGAATTATATTTTATGTCTTATAACCACATACAAGTGTATAAAAATATAAAAAGTCGGTTATTGGGCGACATGGTTCTAATTGTGTATATAAGGTAGATATGCAAGGCATGCGGCGGTTAAAATATCATGAAGCATGCCAATTTATCATCAGATGATGGTCTGAGGCCAGATGGTTTAACTTCAAAACCTTGACCATTCGGTAAATTCTTAATCTGGAGCTCCACGTGCATTTCTTCTTTTCCAAATTTTAATTGAAATCCAGCTAATATTGGAGACAAAAAAAGAATACGCTAAGTTAATTAATTATTTTTTTAAAACATATGTCAAGTATCGGGGCTATTACATGAGAGCACAATTTTTCCCTCTTCTAAAACAATATATTATATCTTTAACCAAAGCGATGATCTTTTAATGAACTTAATTATGTAAATATAAAATATTGTATTTATATATTATAAATAAATTTGTAAAAGCCAAGCCTTTGGGACATTAATTAATTATAAATTTTGTCATTTTGTCAAATTATTATTTTTAAATATTTTAAAAATAACCTTATTTACAAAATTATTGTTTTAGCACCTTTAAAATTCTTTTTATTCATTTTTATTTTACAAAAATATTATCATGTCACAGGCATACCATGGGTCGTTAGAGAGTTTAAATCTCCCATGTATCCACCTTATAAAAAAATTAAAAAATTTTATAGATATGCTGAACAATGCTATGCGAACCCTGTCTGAATCTATATAATTATTATTATCTAGACATCTAGTTTAATCAATCATTGCCATGATTGGCGTATATGTTGTTCAGCGTGACTATATTTATATTGATGAACACTTCTAAATGATTAGACGTGAAAGTCGCAGATAAAGTTGCTATTTTAAATAAAATTTCCTTTTTTTGACTTTTTTAGATAGAATATCTCTTTTTTGCTAAATTTCTTCTTTTTATTGTTAATTTTGATTTTTTGAAAAATATAATAATATAATTGCAATAATATTTTTATAAACTATCTTTTAATTTTTGCAACCGCCTTCTAGTTCCATTACTTCTTTCTTAAAAACTAACAAAATGCATTAAAAATAAACATGCAACATAAAATCTTCTGCTTTTTAAAAAATATTATGAACATCTAAGTCAAATTGTCAACTTTAAAATAAAATCATACTAAAATTGGGTATACCTTCCACATTTATATAAGCGATGTTTTTTTAAAAAAAGACCTTTGTAAATCTCGTTTTATCTTACAATGAATGGTAAATATTAATTATTAGTATAAAAATAACAATTTTATTTTGTTTTGCGGGCTTCATCTTATTAGCATCAGACTTAATGTATATGAAAGTTTTGGAATTTAGGCTCAGAGGTAAAATATTTTACAAATATGTTTTTTATTTAAATAAATGACTTTCCAAATGATGAATATTATAATAACATCTAATAATAAGATTTATTGTTGAACCAATTTATTTGAAAAAAAACACAATAAATTACATGTAATATTTCTAAAAGTACTACTATATTTAGTATTCAATATTCAACAATGCATATAAATTTCGATATAATAAGAGGAGAAATTTTTTTTATATATACGCAGTTATTTATCTTTTTAGTGGATGGTTACAAACGAATCTCTTTTTGCGTTTAAAGTATTATTTTCAAGATAAATGCTTTTATCTTCAAAAAAAACAACTTTTTTTATCTAATATTTTATTATTTATTCATATTTATGTCATTTAAATTTTAAAGACCTCAATTAATAATTTTTTTTTTGATAATCTTTTCTTTTGTGATATATGAATTACTTTATTATGCTCTGAATGTAATATCACATCTTCATAAATGATTTGTACCTTATATTTAAAATTTTTTTACCAATAATGATATATTCTTATATAAATTTATATATTTTTTAAAAAAAAATAATTTTGGAATTTTTCGATATCAACAATGTTTGGCGTTGCCAAAAAGATCAAATCTTTATATCGTTCTTTTACACATATCGCTTGGGCGCAATTTTTTGTCAAAATACTTATAGTTTTTTTATAAGGTATAATCTTAATATATTAATGTGTAAAAACTAAATATAATATCTATAAATCAAAATAATAAGTTTAAAAAAAAGTTTTTTTTTAAAGTATAAAAAATAGTTAAAAAAATAAAATTAATATTTAAAAAATATTTATTATAATAGAGTTCCCAAAAAGGAGCTTAATTAAATTTAAAAAATTTGATCTCGATTTATAATTATAACTAAACATTAGGTGGACGTGATATAATTTTAAGATTATGCCTCTAATTTATTTTATAGCCCATTTATGGCAAATATGTAAAGTATAATGTTGTTAAATTCTTTTTTTAGGAAGAAAGTAATTCCATTCGTTCTTATTATCGAAAATAACTTGTAAAGATGACCTTTTTTATGAATGGTATGTGATGTCTCCGTTACTCGTTACATTTGGGGTGGAGATGGAGATTTGCGAGGGAGGCTTGGGGAGATTTGTGAAAATTTGTGCTAGGGTTTTATGAATATTTCTGATAGGGTATTGGGGAGATTTGTGATAAGGATGTGTGGATCTCTAAAAGGAAGGGAAATGAACCCAGCCTTATTTTATGGTAGGTTGAAGGGCTCGCTAAGGATTCTCAGCGTGTAGTGTAGGAAAGATTTTGGGGTGGTGAGAATAGCCGCAATGAGATTTGTAGGACGGTTAAGAATTCCCAGCATGTGGTGTGAGAAGTTATGGGGGTGATGAGAATGACCCAATATGATTTAGTGAGAGACCGGTTGAGGATCTTCAGTGTGGTAGTATGGTTGGTGAGTTTGCGAAAAATAAAGATCAATGGGGGAAAGGGAATTAATTTTTGGAAGAGAGAGGGGGGAGGGTGATTTTGCCTCGATAAATAATTGGGGGAATATGGGTATTGTGACGAAATTTCGAGGATAATTAAATGGTGTGATATGAGGTATTATTAAAGGGAGATTTGTATACAATTTGGTCTTGTAATGTGTAGTTGAGATTCAGATTGCTATTTTGTATAAATAGTGAAATTTATGAGGTGAGAAATATATTTTGAAGATTAGTGGTTGATTATTTAACGACGTTTAAGGGAAGTAATTTAGAGATGACAGGGGGGGGGCGAAGAGGGAATAATGTTCTGAAGGTTAGTGGCTTAATGTAGTGAGCCATGGTGAATCGAAGAAGGTAGTTAGGTGATCTACAATTTTTTTTTAAATCTAGGTAGATTGGAGGTAACCGAAATTTGTGGCATATATCAGCTGCGGTAATTTTAAAACCCAATATTTCACTTTATTAGTTTCCATATGAATCTGTGCATTGTAGCTCAATCAGTTTTGAGAACCATAAAATCAGTGGGGGTTATGTTTATATTATTTTTTAAATAAATATGATAAATATAAAATCGTTTTTTTTATTACGAATATGAATATATTTTTTAATACCACCTATATCTATAAAAAAAATTCCATAAACCTTTAATTTCTTATTTTTTCTTTGTGCTGTATTTTTCTTTTAAAAGATTTCATCCACCCGAGATGATTCCTTTTCGACTTTCTCTTATGGATCTGCATCCATTCCGATATCGACAGTCCATTAATATATTATCATATAAAAATCCATTTAGGAATTCTAAAAAATTTTCATTAGGAATACCTATATTGTTGAAGTTAAATTTTTGGCAGGTAGATTTATTTTATTCTCGCCAAATCGAGCATTTAGTTTCTTAGACCAATTTCTTTTTGAATACGTATATATCGCAAAAAATTTCTAAAATAAAAAATAATTTTATTCAAATTTTTTAAGTTCATTTTACCCTCCTTTTCAAAGCAATCCATTAGAAGGGACTGCATGATGCTTTCTAGAGAAATTATAAATTTGTTTATTAATATTACTTATTTGGGATTTTTTTAAAGTACATAATTTTAAATAAAAGTGGAATTTCTGAATCTAGCAACATCTGTAAATATTTACCTGCATACAACATCTAAGGGTAGAACCAATTTGCCTCCAATTTTTTGAAAGGGTAAAGAAATAGGCATCCAAAGGGGGTAGGGTAAAGTAAAAAATGAACACTATTTGTAGATTTAAAATTAAAATAACTGATAAAAAAAAATTTTTACAAAGATTTTTTCTCATTCATTTAAAGATAACATTTTAGTACTGTTTAAAGTTGCACACGCTCGTGGCTAATGCATAGAATAATGCTAGTAACCACTAGTTGATTATCACACTCCTGGCCTAAATAAATATGAGGCCTGAAAGAGTTTAACTGGAATTGTTTCGAGGTTATAAATGGTGGCTCATTATAAGATTTTTAAAATTAATATCATATGATGAGCATAATTGTTGGGTAAATAACGCGACCGAGGCTCAAAAGATATTAAAGGGGGTAGGGGTAGATTTTGGATGGGGTTTATCTCCAATAAATTTTATCTCGACGCTGTCTACATAATATTTTATTATTGTCAGCATGCCATTAATAATTATTTGTTATATATCAGTTAATCAATAAAAAAAATGGTTAATTGGCAAAGGGACATCAAATAACCTGATAAATAAATATCCCAATTTATTTCTTTCATAGAAAACAGCATCCTACCTGTTTGAAAATTTCAAATTTTATTTAAAAATT